AAGAACGAAACGAATCTTCGAATATTCTACCAATACTCTGTGGTTACTCGTTGCGTTGTTTCGGATACCGGTTGCAAAGAGCACAATCAACATTCTCTAAACAAAATGGTCATGAGACACATCAAAACACATCGAATTGATGCAAATTGATCGATTCTATGAATATAATGCCATTTTGCTAGTCATCTGTCTACAATCACCTAATTCGACTGTTCCGTATACCGTTTCCGGAGGCCACAATTGACTATCAAATAAAAATGACCATGAATCTCATCAATCAGATTAAACCGATGCGTAATGATCGTTTTTGTGAACATTATGCCATATTCCACATTGCTAGTGGCCATTGACCTAATCCAGATTAGTTAGGTATTAGTTCTGGAGGCCACAATTGACTTTTTCATAAAAATGATCATAGGAAAGATAAGTAAAATAGCATTATATTCGCTGAATCGATCTATACGCATCAATCGGATGTGCTGATCATTTCGGATGTATTTTGATGTGACAAGTGATATTTTATTTTTATTTTTATTTTTGAAAAAGTATGGCCTCCAGAATCTGTATCCGGAACATCCTATTTAGATCAAAGGCCAAGAGGAATTGTAAAAATGGCATTATACAGATAATTAATCTATACACATAATTTAGATAACGATTTTATTTTTTTAAAGTTGATTGTGGCCTATCGGAACCGGTAATCGGAAAATCCGGGTTCAATCACTGACCACGAGTAGCCAGAAAAAAGTTAAAAATATTCGTAGCATTGTGTCATGCATCAGTTGAATGTATTTTTATGTGTCCCATTATCATTTTTATGAGATAATCGCATGTGATTTCCGGAAGCCGTTTCCAAAACATCCTGATTTGGTAAAAGGCCACAAGACATTAGCAAAAGGGCATTATATTCACAGAATCGGTCTATACGCATCAATAAGATATATTTTCATATTTTTATGAGGTAGTCTATCCGAAAGCGGTATTCGAATTATCCGGTCATTGGACATGAGTATTCAGCAAAATGGCATTATATTGTCTCGCATGATCATTTTCATGAGAAATTCGATTGTAGCCTTCAGAATCGGTATCCGGAACTTAGACCTGTTCATTTTAAACGAAATGTTCGGAATGTAACGGGTCAACCGTGATTACTGTTCGTCATGTTAATTTGAACTTCTGTGCAAATTTTCAGCAAAATCGGTGATGATTTAGAGGTGCTTCAAGTTAATTTTATGTTTATAAGGTAATTTACGGCTTATAATATTTGTATCTCGAGACTGAAACTACGAAAACTGCTGTAACAACTTTCATAGCAAAGCTTAATGTGTTATCTATCAACTTTGTAAACAAAGGTTGACTATTCAAAGTGATTTTATCGAAGTTTGACTTAGTTTCATGCTCGAAGATATCTTAAAAAGTGAAGAATTTTAAAGTATTTGTTCTACGAACTTTCCACCCATATGATATAAAAATGTGTAGTCTACGGCATAATGTTCCTCATTTTGTTCTAGAAATTTCGTTCAAACATAATTTTTGTGTAGATTCCATAGATTGAGAGATAAAAATCAGAAAAGAGGCCGTTATAGCTAAAATACACAAGACGACAAAGCCAATAAAAGTTCAATTAGATTGACAGAACCTAGTTGCATTGCTTTTCAATGACGACCGATGACTGTTTCATTGATATATGATTTTTTCATAAATATGAATCCTCGGTAGACGTGTTTTTTTTTATCAAAGGCAAGTGTCACTCGAGCCATAACAGCAATTTTTAAAATAACAAACATTTTGAATGGCTCGAGTGACACTTGCCTTTGATAAAAAAAAACACGTCTACTGAGGATTCATATTTATGAAAAAATCATATATCAATGAAACAGTCATCGGTCGTCATTGAAAAGCAATGCAACTATGTTCTGTCAATCTAATTGACTTTTATTGGTTCTGTTGTCTTGTGAATTTTAGCTAAAACGGCCTCTTTTCTGATTTTTATCTCTCAATCTATGAAATAAACACGAAAACTATGTTGGAATGAAACTTCTAGAACAATATGAGGAACATTATGCCGTACACTACACATTTTTATATCATACGGGTGGAAAATTCGTAGAACAAATACTTTAAAATTCTTCACTTTTTAAGATATCTTCGAGCATGAAACTAAGTCAAACTTCGATAAAATCACTTTGAATAGTCAACCTTTGTTGACAAAGTTGATAGATAACACATTAAGCTTTGCTATGAAAGTTGTTACAGCAGTTTTCGTAGTTTCAGTCTCGAGATACAAATATTATAAGCCGTAAATTACCTTAAAAACATAAAATTAACTTGAAGCACCTCTAAATCATCACCGATTTTGCTGAAAATTTGCACAGAAGTTCAAATTAACATGACGAACAGTAATCACGGTTGACCCGTTACATTCCGAACATTTCGTTTAAAATGAACAGGTCTACGGAACATCCGTCTTAGGTTACTGGGCTCGAGTAACCAGAATTCGACAAACAATTCCAAGATTTGATTCATACGTGTCAAATTGATGAGTTTTGCTTTGTCGCAAGACCATTTTTATGTGAAATCTGATTGTAGCTTCCAGAATAGGTATCCGGAACATCCGGATTAAGGTCACTGGCCACTAGTATTCAGAATATTGGCAAAATGTGCGAAGATTCGTTTCATTTGCATCAATTTGATGTGTCGTCTGAGACAAAGTTGTAGAGGGAAATTTTGCTTCCAGAGTGTCGCAATTAGCGATTAGGTATAACGAAGAGTACTCACTCATCGTGATTAATCATTACAGCTAAAATAGCTGATTGTGACCCCCTGAAAGCAAAATTTACAGGTTTTATGTGGCCCACTTTGTCACAATAAGAAAAAAATACTCATTCGTCAGTTGGTGTGCAATTGCTCACATAAACTTTTTTTTTTCATTGTAATTTGCATACAAATTACCATCATAGGTCAAATTTAGAGGCAAAGACAATGCTTTTCTCGTCTAACAAAATAATATAAGAGAATGCTAGGAATAAGGAACATATTGTTTAGGTTTGAACGACCCAAATTAACAAGCTTTCGAGCAAGCATTCCAAATAAGTTGTACGCAGTTTGCATCCACTATCCATAAAACATTATCTCTTAATTTTGAGCTAAACATGGCTCACATAAAAAAATGTGTGCGTAATCTAGCGTTAACTAAGTGTAAATCACATAAATTAACATGTTTTTTTTTTCAAATAGTTTACTTGACGACCTTAGTGTTGAAACCTCAAGCCACTTAAAATTTAATCAAGTATTTGTTTGTCATTATTACTATAATGACCTGATTTTGACAATTCTCCTTTTGAAATTATGTTCCAATGTGTTACGGCGCCCAGCCCTTTTTCAGTGGTTTTATTGCACAAAAAAATTACCTTAAACCTTGAAGATGAATGATTTGGTATTACTGCTATGTGAAATTATTGAAAGATAAAAGCCTGATACGTGGAGGGGATGACAAAATTGGGTCATTACTGTTACAATGTATCTTGTCTTTATGTACACGGTAAGAAAAGAGTACCCACTTTTACCTACTTTTGACTAGTTTGTCTCCTTTTCTCTTTCTAACGGAGGAGCTTAACCACCAAACAAGGGTAGTAAAGTGTGGAACCCAACGTACAGTGTAATCATGTTTACCCAAAATAGTACAACTAACTTACTTTTGCGTAGAACGCGAATGGAAAATTACGTACGAATTGCTCACAAGTAAATGAAAACTGGTTTAACCAGCTTTACCTAGTTTCGGTATCCTACACTTTAGTGCCGAGATGAGTGAAATGAACTTATTTCTGGGTACTTTTTTCTTACGGGTAGGTTTTTTTTCAATTATAGTCACTTTAACGCTCTTGGGCCATTCGTAACTTGTCCGGGGTCCGGGGGAACTAGTGACTTTGGCGTGAGAGGTATTATATCTGAACCGTATCAGTCCAAACGCATATTTCTGGGAACCTAAGATGCTCAAATCCAAAATATTCAAAATTAAACCTATAGGGTAAGATGGCGTAAGATGCCACCCCGGAGCAAGATGACTTTTTGCAAATTTCTAATAAATTTTCGACACATTTTCAAGGATTTAAGGTATTTTGAACGCCAAAAAGTCATTTTACCCCGGGGGTGTGCCTTACACCATTTTACACTACTAACAAAACCTCCACTTCCTTTTGTTTATCTTACCATGCGTCTCCATTTGGTGTTTATTCGTTTGAAATGTTGTATGATAAATAAGAATATTTTTCCCAAATAACCTTACATGTTTTCACCATTTACCAAATAAACTACCATTTACATCCAGTAAAACACTCAAAAGTACTCACAACCCAGTTGTTGTAGTAGTAGAAGTGAACCAGGATAGAGAAAATCACCTTCATTCTTCTCCGCAGTGGAATGGTTTCAGATTCAAAACAGGAAAGGAGACCTCGATAGGAGCAACACGACGAACCCTTTACGCACTACATAGAGATTATTTACACTAAATTATCGACAGCCCACCAATCAGATTCGTTGTGCGGTGAAACTCCCAAAACAAGAAAAAGGTGTCTTTATACGATTCCCGTGGTTGTTCTGGTGAAGTAGATATAGGTTTCTGATTTCGGTTTGAGTACTTTTTGTTGTTCAGGTTCGGGTGTTGAGAAAAGAAAGAAACGTCATAGGGAAACAGAAAAGGGGGACAGGTTTGGTGCATTACAACGATAGAGGTCGGCAAAGTAGCGTCTTTCTAGGGAGTTGAACAAACTGGTGGGGGGCGGGAGACACTCCCTCTACGGTGGATTAGCATTGCTTTACTCGCATACGCACATTGACTCACGGCGCTCACGCATGCTAATTGGCATCTTTGTAGTAGATATGCTTGCACACTTAAACACAAACTGGACGGACATCAGACACTAGTTGTAGGAAAGAATGTGGTTGTGTGTTGTTGCTGGTGGCTGCTCTCTTGACAGAGAGTATTGGGGGAATATATTTACCTTCACAATCGGGCCCTGGGTCGGGATGGGTGAGCCCGTTTGAGTCGATCCCGAACCAGCTGAGCCGGACATGCGCGGCTTAAAGACAGCCATCGATTGCGATACGCCGTCGGCCAGGATGAATTGCTCACGCAACTCGATGTTGGTGCGTCCCTTGGCTGTTGGGGGTTAGGATTTTTGTATCGTTTTCAAACGTGCAGCAGCATCATCAGCATCGATCAGCACACGGTTACGAGTAGTTTTTTTTTTGGTAGAAGCGAGGGTGTTAATACCGATTGGTTTGTCGTTGTTTTAGAGAGAAAAATTCACAAAACGGAAATGTGGTTTGTTGGTTTTTTTTTGGTGGCGGGAAGGTCAGGTTCAGTTTTGAAGGAAGGAATGCAGGGTTGAATTCAGTCATTCGGTCCAAGGTCGGTGTGGTGCGGAAGTGGTGGTTCGGTTAACAGAAAAGTAAAAGAAAAATAAGAAAAATTTCGAATTGGGTGTGGTCAAAATGTTGGATTTAGGTAAATTTAGATTTTTTTTGTAAAAATAACCCGTCACCACAGAGAATGTTGAGGAAGTTTCCAGTTAGCAGAGTCAAAAATTGTCGAAAAGTGGGTATTGAGGGAAGGATTTACACGGGAAATAGGGATAAGATGTAAAGAAAAAAGAAATACATAACACAATGAATAAAACAACTCAAAATCCAAACATATAACAATAAATGAAATCTTAAAAACTAGAAATAAAGACAATTTTGATAGATTGTTGCTTATCGCTTTGGTTTCAAACAGTGAGTTTTAGGATAAACAACCATCCTTGAATCGGATTAGCAACTAAATGTACTTAATAACTAAATCAATGATCAATAGAAACAACAAATCTACAAACTAAACTATGTGCAACACAGTTGTGACATTGTGAGTGTGTAAAACCGGCGTGTGTATGTTTCTTTGAGTGGAGTGTATGAAAGCATAAACTAAAAGGGCAATGAGAGTGTACTTTTGTCGTTGTTGTTGTTTGGCAATCGAATGAAATGCAGTCTACAACGAACGACGGTTCTGCACGTCTTTAGCTGATGGGAAATTTCAATTTAGCATTTAATCTCTGAATATGAGTGGCTTTCAGTTTTTCACTTGTACGAGCTTTCTTAGAACTTTCAATCAATCTTCTTCCAATTTGTCATCCGTCTGATTTGAAAAGAGCAATGAATTCCTAACACAAACTAATATGAACTAAACACACTGATAAATGTACAAACGAAGCACATAATGGTAATACACTACTACTGAATCTCTTACAATCAAAATCATACAGAACAAAAAAGTGATGCCAACTTAAAAGCGTTAAAAGTATGTACAGACAAAGCGTTAAAATGCACCCAAACCATCAACACGTACGTGCTAAAGGGGAAGGTGAGTGGGTAGATTAATTGCATTTTTTTGTTAGTAGAGCATGCAGCGCTTTACTACGTTGAGGGAAATTTTCTGCCGCGGTTGATCCATAAATTTAGGAATAGTTTTATGTGTAGCACAGTCAACTCTCTCTAGCTTAAATGTGGAAGAGTTCTTAAAACTCGATGGACCCTTCACTTCAATATCGAGTTACGGAGACAAATGTAAAGCATTTGTATGGAAAATGTACTAAACTTTGAATGTCCATCAAGTTATATTATATCGAATAAAGTTTTGATTGGATAGCAAATTTCTTTAAACTTTAATTACTAGGAACGTAGGAACTACATTTATGTGTTTAAGAATAAGATTTTTTTTCCATGAAATGAACAAGAGTTGCTACATAATCAGATTTTTTTTAAATTCGCAATGATGATTTCATCATATCAAGAAGAATGGCAACTTTGCCAGAATCCAAGTGACAGAGCGAAGGTGAAAGCAACGCGTAGAAAAATGAGCAAATACAAAAAGCTTCCTTCTGGGGTTGGATATTTTTGCTATCAAATTCGTTTGTAGCATTAACATTTGAGCTGCAGATGACGCGATTGTACCTGTCTCATATCAACGAATGGGAAACGGGAGAGTTTCTTGTCTTCTTGACATGTTGTTTTCGGTAAAAGACTGTCTGAATTCTTTCAAAAACTGTATACGTGGTTTAAGCACAGTCCCGAAGTAACAATCTGATTTCAGGCACAATATCAACTTAAACAACTTGTGGGATATTCATGTCAGGGGGCATATTTAAATAATGTAACCTATGTTTGACCTATTTAAACCGGCCTCTCATAGCGTATTTTCCTATTGGCGATCTAACTATAGCCCTGATGGCGAATATGAAAAAATAGAAAAATGATAATGGTTTCGAAATTTTGCACGGTGAGGTAGGAAAATATGTGGTATTTTCAGACTAAAACGTAAACGGTCGATTTATTTTCTGTAATTTTGGTGGTCAGTTAAAAGGTAAAAAAGCTAATAATAATCCCTTTCTATATATTTTTTGAAATTTACAAAAATTGCAGATCATTAACTTTTTATAACATTTTGAATCATGGAGACCATTTCATCATATAAGGTTTTAAATCATTTAAATCAGAATTGATGTAAGATTTGTTTGGTATTAAAGTTACAATTGGCTATCAAAAGCAAACTATTGAAAATTGATCAAACTAACTTGCTTGCCATAATTATCGAGTGTAGATAGATTTAGGGGCGATTCAAATATGACGTCCACTATCGACGGGAGGGGGACTGGTTCCAAGAATTTGTGACAGAGCGTGTAATAGGTTTGGAAAAAATCATGAAACAGAGGGGTAAACAATCGAAAAACTTGAGGATGTCATATTTGAATCGCCCCGTATCCGACAGCGAACCCCTAACACGGACTTCTATTCCAGATACCAAAACACTAAATTTGATTCAAATTTCATCATCCGCACTTACTCAAAGACTGAGTAAAATATGCTCGAATTTGAGTCACATATTCAAGATGTTCGATTGACTTGAAAACTGTGTAAGATTAAGATTAAGGGCCTTAAGAATTGAAGTTATCAAGATTCTGGCATTTCGTAGAATTATCAAGAGAATTTTGTGGAAAATTTCTAAGAAAGGAGAATTAATACTACGCATAGTTTCGAAGGAATTTTGAAGAAAAGTCGTATGGTCTTCTGCGCAGAACTCTAAGGGAATTCTGAGAAGAAATCCAAATAAATAGTGAGGATAACTTCAGGGGAAATCTAAGGATTGCTTTCAAGGTAGTTCTGAGTAGAATTCCAAGGTTATAATGAGGACCTCCTGATTCTTCAGGAAAATTCCACGGCAATTCCGATGAGAATTCAAAGAAAGTTCTGGGAAGAAATCCTAGGAAGATTTTACTAGAATTTCAACGTATATCTGAAGTGAATTCCAAAGAAATTGTGAAGTGAAACCTTAGGAGGATTCCAAGGTAGTTCTGAGTTGAATTCCAAATGAGTCCTAAAAAGAATTCAAAGGAATTTCTAACGATTATTCCAAATAAATAGTCGAGTATTAGTACAAGACACTGAAGAAGTCTGCACATTTTAGACGAAATACGCGTATCTGTCAAGGATAAGCAAATAAATTGGATTTAAATGGAGATTACTAATCCTTCTTCCTCTCTTTATACAGATATTCCACTAAGACACCAACATTCATCAGGATTCAGGATTATTCCAAAGTTATTCTGAATAAAAATCCGAACAAATTCTGAGAATAGTTTCAACGGTATCCCGAAGAGAAATCTAAGGGAATTCAAAAGATCTTTCCAAGGAAGTTTTGAGCATGGGACATTCCAAGGGAATTATGAAGAGAATTCATTGAGTACTTGAAGTGTAACTTCAAGGGAGTTTTTAAAGAACACTTGAGATTTTTTAAGGGGATTATGAGAAGAATTCCAGATACATTTTTTGCCTAAGTTCAAAGAAATTCCGAAGAAAATTTCAAGAGAATTCTGGGGAGAAATAAATTATGACGAGAATTTCAGGTGAAATCTAAGGATCGCCTCATGGTAATTCTGAGTAGAATTTTAAAGTTATCATACACACTAAGTTTTTTCTACCGAGCTCGGCTGTGCAAATCTCGGCAAAAATAAGTTTCACTGAGATCTCAGCAAAAGTGACATTTGATTGCTGAGTCTCGGATAATGATTAGCTGAATCTCAACAAACAAATGAAATGTTTGCTGAGAACTCGGTAAAACTTTTTTTGCCGAGATTTGCACAGCCGAGCTCGGTAGAAAAAACTTAGTGTGTACCTCGAGATTCTTCAAGAGAGTATGCTTCAAAATAAACGTTAGGAGAATTCCAAAGTAGTTGAGAGTAGAATCCCGAAGGGCTCCTAAAAAAGAATTCAATGGAAAGTCTAAATATAATTAAATAGAATTTCTGACGACTATTCCAAAGCGATTCTGATGTAAATTCCTAGCTAATTCGGAAGATAATTAATTCCAAGGGAGCACAAAGTAGAATTTCAAAGAATTTCTCAACGGATTTTTTCAAAGGTTAGCAGATTTACAGGTAAATTTTATGAAGAACTTCAAAGGAATTCTGATGAAAATTTCAAAAGAGGTTCAGGAAGAAGTTCAGGCTAGAATCCCGAGTTCATTTTTTATGAGACTTTTAAGAGAAGAACTTTAAATGAGTTCAAAAGGGAATTCCTTATAGAATTCCAAAGGATTTTTGGGAATAATACTAAGAAGACGTTGAATATAATTTAATGAGGTTGAATCCGAAGGAACTCTAGGAAGTATTTCAAAAGAGTCCAGAGTAGAGTTTCAAAGTAAAGCAAGCCCCTAAAGCGTTCCAATGGAATTATCAAGATGATTTAGATAAAAATAAAAATTCATGATATCGGACACAGAAGAAAATCAAGATTCAGGACATGGATAATTAATGTTCAAGATTCTGTCAGTTGGAGAATTTACTGAAATCTATTTCTTGCTTAAAGGAAAGTTTTCAAGATTCCGGACTAAGGGAGCATGCATTAAGTACGTCACGCAAAATTTGAGAAAAATCAACCTTTGTCAAACATTTGTAGACCCCCAACCCACTTTCCATTAGTGCGTGACGTTAATGGATCGTCACTTAGAATTTGGGACTTAAAATGTTTCCGACCTTCTGAAATGAGACATCAGTACTCAAAACATGGAGAAATTTCCAAGAAGTTGTAAAGTTTTCCAGATTCATATACATATAAAACTGTTCGAAATGCCAAACTTGAAACATCAATCAAGGATAGTGAGTTTAAAATAAATGAAAAATCTGAACATTTTTGAGATCAAAAAATTAAAGGACATTGGAAATTGTTTGCATCTCAGACTTGAATACATTTTTGCTATCCCGAACTAGGGAAAATTCAGAATCGCAGGTTTTAAGAAGCTTTCAAGATGCTAAAACAAATGTTTACGATTACAGAGAGCTAGGAATCGGGAAAAAGGAATATCTCTGTGTATTTGAAAGATTTTGGGCGTAGCAAACGGTTTTTCAAAGTAGATCATTCGAGATTTAATAAATTTGAATCCACCTGCACGTATCAGTTACGTGGAAAATACGATAAAATCATGTATGTTTTAACGTAGGATTGACGTGCAGATATTTGTCAGTGTACATTCAACTTCCAGTTTTGAACAAAATGTGGCCAGGCAAAAATTACTATGAGTCGCATTTTGTTTTCAAAACTGTAGCAAGAATTTTAGATTCTACATTTTGATTAACTGGATTGATGTCTTTCCTGGTTAACACTGCTGTTTGTCGGTCGTACTTCAACCAATCTGTACAGACTTGTCAGAACTTTTTGTCTAGTAGAAGGCCTCTTTTGTTACAAAATTTTACGATTACATCTTAATTACATTAATCTTAAAATTGACTCCAAAGTTTTAACGATGTGTAGACACACATTTGTGAACCAAATTTGCCATATCTGTTGATGGTTTCAATTACGGATCTATACGATGATGATCCACCGAAAGACTGGAAAGACAAAACATAGCCCAACATCAATGATATCAGTCGGGAAAAGGCGTGTCATTTAGCACATGCATTAGACAATAAATTTATGAGATACAAGTTGATATAGTACATCATGTTTCAGAGCAAACATTGAGCGTCCAAGGACTTTGTGTACACCCCTAACTTTTATAGGTAATGGTATTGCCGAAGCCGTCATTTATCATATCTCGCTCCTTTAATTTTAAGTGCTTGTCTCTGACGACCAGAAGTTGTGTAAGAATGTACAGATGTAATTGTATAGATTAAGTCAAAACTGCGTATGAAAACCCATCGCATGATGTTTAAGTTTAATCGTATAAAACGCAAACTTATTTACAATCAATTTTATATCATATAAAAGTAAAGCTTGTCAAACTGAATTTTTTTCATTACAGACTAAACTGTATTTGATGACAAATCAAACTGTTAACAAATTAAATTTACACTAGTGCGTATCTGGACTCCGTGTTTGTACGTGAAAGCCATCAAAGTGCATTATATACGATAAGCTTGTCGTTATATATGTCCGGATATGACATAACCAACTCTAATTTACATGCATTCTGGTTGTCTTGGGTCAAATTCGCTTCCTTCTTCAATAACGCCGCAATAACGCTTCAAATAAGTTTGTTAGTAAAACTACGGTTAGTCCAACACCCAAACTGCCTTTGAATAACACGATAACACGTAATCTAAGGAAACACAAACACCGTGAAAATGATAAGCTTCTAATTATGTATATACGATTAGTAAAGAACCAAAGTAGTACTAACATACATTTGAACACACTTAAAACCTAAAAAGTTAAACAGAACAGAAATCCAGGAGGACAGTAGAGTAGAAATAAGTCACACAATCTTCTCAAACAGCATTAAAATCTCCCTTTATTCAAAGGTGTTAAGTTTCTAAGCAGACAATTGGCGAAAAACGTCGATACTTTTGCTCTCCTGGGAGCAATTCGGTCCGATCCAGAAGATCGGACGATAACAACTAACAATATGTGAAAAATTCTAAACAGGAAAAAATTTGACATCACATTGAAAAATAGGAACAAAAATACAGCATTGCGTGTGCTCAAATTGGACGAAGATCTTGGCTTGGACGAGCTGGACTAGAATACTACTGCGCCCGGTTATTTGCTCTTCTCGTTCAGTACAATGTATCGCGGCATACTATTGCTGCCCCCGAGATCGTAGAGTTGCGATTGAAATTTCTTCTTTTGCCAAAGCAACAGTTGCCTAAAGCTTAGTTCGGGTTTCTTACACAGTGGACAACACGCCTCGTGCTGGCGTGGATCGTTCGGGTTGGGAAGCGGTAGCACTAGCGCAACTGCGATTTTCGATAGTCATGCAAAAGGCGGGCGAGGGGGGAAGATCGGAAAAATCGAGCAGCAATAGTGGCGTGTAAAAAAAAACGACGTACAAAGTGGGCGGGAGCAGAGCGAATCGATTTTGGTTAAAATTTACGAAATAAAACAAGAAAAACAATCAACGAAAGGGGAAATGTGTAAGAAGCGATAATCAAACGAAAGAGAAAAAGAGATAAACGAAACGTGAAACCATGTAAAAATGATGCGTGAAATTGTGGAAATTTCAAGTGCGGCAGAAACCATTTCATACGATTTTCGTTCGTTTCGTTAGCGGAGACGGTGGAATCCGATTGAGTTTTTTGATTTCATACCGATCGGTTAGATTATTTTTGTGGGGGGTTGGTTTGTTAAAGAAGAAAAGAAAGAAAAAGAAGGAATGTTGATTAGTATACAAATCGTTCGCCGGAAGCACTTGCAATTAGGATTTTGTTTGTTTCTGTTGGTTCAAGGCATTCAAGGCACGATTAATCACAAAGTCACGGGCGCGCATATCAGCCACAGACACGTCCTGTTTTTTGGAATGATTAAAGGTAATCGCGATCAGCTGGCGTGTGTGTGTGGGTGGGGGGGAGGTTGTTTGTTTCGTTCACCATTATTTATTAGGAGCATGATTGTAAGCAAAGTTATTGTTTGCAAGCCATTCTCGATGACTTATGATTCGTTTTTGAAAGGGTGGGAATATTGTTAATAAACAGAATTTCCGCGGCTTTTGATCTTTAGTTCTCGAAACCAAGGATTAATATTGGATTTTGCGAATTGTCCAATGTTAAATAACCATATCCTCTTCCTGTTCTGGCATTGCGGTGTGTGAATATTAATATCGTTAAGATTATAATAAATATTGGCATCTCTTCTAATTTAGTTCCAAAATATATGGAAATTTCGACTAGATACCCTAATGTTCTGAACTAAGAGTAACATTTCGTATACTCAAATAACTATTATTTACTAATGATCTAACTGGATATATCATAAAATAGATAAATAGATGAAAGGCAACAGTGTACGTACCTCGACAAGGATCATTCTTGACCAGGAATTCGTCAAGTGCTACCCATCCACCTCCGACGCGAACCATCACAGTACTTCGTAGAATACGCACTAGACGCAGCTTCTGGGAGTCTCCGAACTACACACAACCGTCCAAGAAAGTCAGTTATCAAATTGATGCGCGAAATCAACCAATGGCGAAACTTACCCGATATTTGCCTTCGCCGACCTGGAATACTCGGAACTTCTGTCGACACGTACACAGCATCACCAACCGTTTGACCTCGTCGTGGATTTTGTCTGCGTCGGTCTTTGGCTTGCGATCTTGCCAGTCCGGTCGAAGTGCCGCGATGAACTCCTGCCAGTCGATCAGTCCTTCTCCGTTGCGGTCGAACAAATCGGCCACGGCGTTCATTTCCAGCTTCGAGGTGTCGAATTCTATCGGAAAATCAACCAAAATGATTTATCCCCACATTCTTCCATCAAGCTAACACAACTCAATCAACTTACTCGTTCCGATGATTCCATCGATGAAGACTTCCCGCGGGATCAGTCCGTTGTTGTCCTTGTCCATCTTGCGGAATAGATCCGTCAGGCGGGACTTCTTGTGGTTCATGAACTTGAGGAAACGTTTGCGCCATTCCTCCCAGCTGAACTGCCGGACGCGTTCCAGATCTTGCAGGTACAGGAGATGGTCATGCAGACGACGCTGGCGTTCCCATGCCAACATCCACACGTAGCGCCACTTGTCCCACAGGAGCTTGGCTCGCGGGGAACGGAGCTCCGCTTCGGGTTGATTGCTGTAAATGGTTTTCGGGGAAACCCCCCGCATGTTAATAGGATGTTCCAAGAGAGACGAGACCGAATGGAATGAGAGGCATGAAGATGATGAAATAATGAAGTGAGAAAAGAAGTGCTACATAAGACAATCAACAAACCTACTTTTACCAGAAGATCCACGGGAATTTCACTATCTACTTACTAATAATACTAAAACCTTCTCACGCAAGAGCAATTGTGGTATGCATACTAACCATAACCAAGCTAATGTTTCTAATGCTTACCCGTCTTGATCATTGGGAAGCTAATCAATAACCGTTTGCTTCTAAGTACCTATCAGTACTGTCCTGTTTGCAATGTTTAATATGGACATAATAACAATATTCGATCTGGATATTTAAATTTTGTTTAGCAGCAAGCTAAGCCTTTAGAAACATTTTAAGACGCTTTCATCTTCCGTTTAGGTTCTTGAACTCTCACATGCTTTGCTTCCTTGCAGGTATTTAGCAACCTTGAGAAACACAGCAGAGCAGACTGTAATGGGCTTGTCATGTACCACGGATACCGGAAGAAAGATAACCAACAAAAAAATCATTTCGATTAGAAATTACGTTTTCGTGCTACGATTTATTAAAAAAATGTTGAATACGCCATTTGGAAAGAATTTGCAAGATTCAAAATGGCCGCATTGTGAATAGCAAACAATAATCGATGTCGAGCTTTTTCAAATCACATCCAAGTCACAACAACAAGAATCAACTCACTTGCCTCGTCTAAACTCGGCTTTACAGCTAAACCTATTATGCACTAAAATGCAGCTCCAAGTATGGCAATTTAATTGTCACACTTGGAGAGATCGTGAAATGCGCACAAATTTGTAAAATTGAATTGAAACGAGCACGAGCACGGTCAAAGTGAGACCCAAGGTGGCTTCTCTAACACAGCCGCCGATTTCAAGTACCTCTACTGACGCCCAGAAGCTTGTCGCTGAAGAACAAGAAGGGTCCGCGAAAGCAAACTTCCCCAACACAGATATCGTAGTCAACTTTTCCGATATGGGTGAAGTTTTCAATGCGATATCATAAAATATGTTATATTTAATGCGTAGAACCGGTGCGTCGGAGTTGAAATACAAGCGAAAGTACTTTAATTAATTAATTAATTTTGAAGTGGCACTGAAGTGTATATTTAACGTATAGATTTAGACGTGGCTAGATTAGTCACGACTTAGACGATGTCCTCAGCGACGAAATTCGTCCAAGAACAATGCATGAGAAGCCTATGCGCAACATTTACGATCCTTTTCATTTGTATATAAAATGTACTAAGTCTCCCTTAGCTCAGTCGGTAAAGGCGCAGCTACAAAGCAAGAGGTGGCTGTGTTTGACTCCCGGTCCGGTCTAGGAATTTTTCGGGTATGGAAAATTTTTCGGCTACCCTGGGCATAGAGTATAATTGTACTTGCCACACAATTATAGTAATGTAAAAATGGTACAGGCATCGAAAGCTCTCAATTAATAATTAATTTAATTAAATTAATAATTGTGGAAATATCTAGAACACTTAGTTGAGAGCACGCAATAAGCTAATATGCGATAAGCAGTAAGCTTGAAATGTGATGAAGAAGAAGTTCTTCAAATCATTCTGGAGTTCAGATCGTCCGAACCTCTAGTTCAACCACAAATGAGACAATTTCTCTTGCAGTGAAATATGTCCAATAGGGTGGGTCAACTTTATATGGTAGATCACAACCCCATAGCTCTTTCGATCTGCAAGTGTGCCAAATTTGAATAAAATCGGTTACGATTTGGATTAACGGGAGAGCTTTAACATTTGTATTGGAAACGGAATAAAACTAATCATTTGCCAGATAAAGTTTAAAAAATTGCTCAGTATTCCCCAAACTTAGGACTTTGATTGAGAAAACTATTCTCTTCTGTGCAAAAACTTATATTTTTTTTACTCTCGCTCTGGTGCTCCTCACGTACCTATAAGCTTATACAGGGTGTTTGGTTCCGGGTTTTACATATTTTCAGGGTAGATAGGGCTCCTAAAGTTATGAAAAAATCCCCATGAAACATAGGGTCGGAAATGACTGCTAAGTGAGTTATTCAACATTTTATGTTTTTTTGTATTGCCAACTTTGGTTGGCTATATTTTTTTAATCTTAATGTGGTTTTCTGATTTCAACATACCAAATGAAAGATTAAAGTCTTAGCTATCAATGCTTTCTAGAAAAGAACTCGATTAAAGTTAATTATCATACATTAAAATTGAAAAGTATGTTGAAAGTACCGAAAAAACTGGTGACATTTCTTACATTTTAGTGTTTTTAAGTTGAAAATTTTCATTTCTGTTTATTTAGTTGTTCTACAAAACATTTTCCATGCAGTTCTCTAGATTTGTGTCTTTGGTAGTAACCTTGTAGGCTTTATGATTTCTTCGTAATTATTGATTTAAAACAGCCATAAAAACCTGTGACGTTTTCTTAAAATGCGCTATAGTCACCCTATTTGTTCGTACGTTCGGCTTTTGCAGTGGACTACGCACATGAAAATTTGGTAGAATGTTATTGTAAATGTTTAGCTACATTCTTAACTTTTGATTACCGCACATCTCCTGCGCCGAAAGAAAACATAACTGCGGAGATGTTTCGCAGTATCGAATATTGCTCAGTCTCAGCAGAAAACACAACGAGAGACACCGAATCGGCGAATTCTGAGAGCGGAAGGGAGAGAAGTAGGTAGTAGTAATAAGTCGATGTCCTTTTTATTTCATAGCACTCGCAGCTCAGCTGCGGTGCTGTTTCGATGGAGGAATGTGGAGCTCCGCGGCTTCTGTATGCATACTTAGAGTTTTTTACAGGAGTTAGTATTTTTACAGGATTTTTGGATTACTGACTCGGTTAAAATTCAAATGACTGTTATTCGTAAAGATTGGATAAAATCGATTTATTTTTATTTTTCATCATTACACGGGGTTAACAGAAGTTAGTCTGTAAATTTTGGTAACACATTTTTCAACTTTGAATTTTTCACAGATTTTTTTAAATTTTACCGAAGAATTCCGCAATTCAAAAACTCGGTAAAAATTACTGACTCGATAAGTGTGTACTGATGTATGGTTGGTGAAGAGGCTAGCATGTGGAGGGTATTCTCGGGCTAGTGAATACCACCCATCCCCACTTATAATTCAGTAATACACTATTTACTCATTTCTGTTTGATATGTTAACAAAGTTTGACGAATAGAAATGAACATTGCAGTGTAGTTACCAATTTTCCAAGTCATAGACTTCAAATAACTGTTCAAAGTCCCAGATTTTTTATAACGGAATCATGAACAAAAAACCAAAGACCACTATTACAAACGTGATTGTGAACTTCGAGTTTTCTAGGGAGTTGATCTCGGGCACTATTATGATTTGAGGCACTAAATTGTCATCACAGTTTTGTTATTGTATGTTTTCCGGTAGCAGATAATGGACTCCTGGAAAATGCGAAGCGGAACCAGAGCCCGAGGTTCTGAATCGTATCACCTTTCATGTTTTTTTTGGCTTGAAATGTTCCTTGGGATGTATACTTTAATTTAGAAAAGACTCCAAGCCCGCTAGAATATTCCTTACCGCTTTACGAAGCGATTTCCTAAAACATGTACCGGTGCACTGAGAGAGCATTTTTATCTTTAAACGCGTTTATCTCGAAACGGGGGTTTTCAAACTGGCGTGGGAAATAACTCTAACCAGTTATCATCAAATTTGGATATCGCCTAGGTTTTCTTGTTCAGAATTAAATTCTGCTTAGAAACACGTATCCACATTTTCGATTTTGTCAAAAATGGATTTTTAATCCACGATTGGTTTTTTGTTCATGATTCCGTTATAAAAAATCAAACTTTGTTAACATATCAAACAGAAATGAATAAATAGTGTATTACTGAATCATAAGTGGGGATGGGTGGCATTCACTAGCCCGAGAATACCCTCCACATGCTAGCCCCTTCACCAACCATACATCAGTACACACTTATCGAGTCAGTAATTTTTACCGAGTTTTTGAATTGCGGAATTCTTCGGTAAAATTTAAAAAAATCTGTGAAAAATTCAAAGTTGAAAAATGTGTTACCAAAATTTACAGACTAACTTCTGTTAACCCCGTGTAATGATGAAAAATAAAAATAAATCGATTTTATCCAATCTTTACGAATAACAGTCATTTGAATTTTAACCGAGTCAGTAATCCAAAAATCCAGTAAAAATACTAACTCCTGTAAAAAACTCTAAGTATGCATACAGAAGCCGCGGAGCTCCACATTCCTCCATCGAAACAGCACCGCAGCTGAGCTGCGAGTGCTATGAAATAAAAAGGACATCGACTTATTACTACTACCTACTTCTCTCCCTTCCGCTCTCAGAATTCGCCGATTCGGTGTCTCTCGTTGTGTTTTCTGCTGAGACTGAGCAATATTCGATACTGCGAAACATCTCCGCAGTTATGTTTTCTTTTGGTGCAGGAGATGTGCGGTAATCAAAAGTTAAGAATGTAGCTAAACATTTACAATAACATTCTACCAAATTTTCATGTGCGTAGTCCACTGCAACAGCCGAACGTACGAACAAATAGGGTGACTATAGCGCATTTTAAGAAAACGTCACAGGTTTTTATGGCTGTTTTAAATCAATAATTACGAAGAAACCATAAAGCCTACAAGGTTTCTACCAAAGACACAAATCTAGAGAACTGCATGGAAAATGTTTTGTAGAACAACTAAATAAACAGAAATGAAAATTTTCAACTTAAAAACACTAAAATGTATGAAATTTCACCAGTTTTTTTTCGGTACTTTCAACATGCTTTTCAATTTAATGTATGATAATTAACTTTAATCGAGTTTTTTTCTAGAAAGCATTGATAGCTAAGACTTTAATCTTTCATTTGGTATGTTGAAATCAGAAAACCATATTAAGATTAAAAAAATATAGCCAATTAAAGTTGGCAATACAAAAAAACATAAAATGTTGAATAACTCACTTAGCAGTTATTTCCGACCCTATGTTTCATGGGGATTTTTTCATAACTTTAGGAGCCCTATCTACCCTGAAAATATGTAAAACCCGGAACCAAACACCCTGTATGCACCCCAGTAGGTATGTGCGGATCACATGAGCATACATTAAAAAAATAACTTTTTGCACAGAAGTCGAATCGACATGCGGTCTTCAACGATGTTGATCTGTGTAGTTTCTCAATCTAAGTCCCAGGTTTGGTAAAAATAGAGCAGTTTTAGAATTTTTGGACCGACCCCAAAATTTAAAAAAAAAACTCTCCCGCAAATCCAGATCGTTCCCAAATTCGTTCAAATTTGGCACAGTTGTTGGGGACCTCAATACGAAGCGAAAGAGCTGTGGGGAGTAGGTGGTTGTTATAGATGACCCACCCTTATGTCCAAGCAAAAATATAGAGTACATGCTTATCACTTAAAATATATTGCCATGGATATAAGATGTTCTAGGTGCTCCAAATCGTCCTGAAGTTCAGATCAAATTATCTACTAGACCTAACACGATTAGGTGATGTTTTTAACAATCGAACATGTCCAAACACTGTCATGCAGTCAATGCGCATCTCTTATGGTCGATTTCTGCTTCAAATCACCCTCTAGTTCAGATCAAAGGATCTTCCACAATTGGGCATTGTCATTAGCAATCGAAACATGAATAAGCATATTTATGGAGCATATGCGCAAAATTTACGGTCGATTTCCATTAATATAAGATGATCTAGGTTCTCCAAATCGTCAAATAATTTACTAGATCAACCATTAGGGTGTGTCAACTTAACAATCCCCACTGCTCTTTAGATGTGCATTGAGAAATTGAGAACCCCATCAACTGTGTCTGAATGGCCTCAACATTATAAAATAAGTTTAAAAAAACTTTGTCATCGTTCGATCGCCAAAACTGCATCTACATCTTAAAAACCTCGGAAATTAAATTGAAAATCCCAAATGAATACGGAAAAAACAAGCCTTAAAAACGTCGGAATTTCCATAATACGTAAATTAGGCTTAAGCCCTTAAAACTGAAGCGACATAAAAACAATTCCAACATTGCACTAAAAATACTAAGTTAACCTTAAAGCCGCCAATTTAGTCTTAAAACGTAGGAATGACTTACAAGTTTATTTAAACGTAAATTCACCTAAAAATTAAATAGTCTTTAAGGATTCTAAATTTAAGGTACAATTAAATTTTCATAATAATTATTGTCTCAAAATGCCAAAATGGTTTTGAAAGGGCCGAAACGGCTTGAAATCTTAAAATGTACCATGCAAAATGGCTTTTAGGGGAAATTTCCCGATAAAGATAAAAATAAACTATTCACATCACTATCCTCTCCTTTAATTTCGTTACAGAAGTGCAAACATAAATGCTCGTTAACCAAGAGAAAATCCTGACCGCGGCTCTGTCTTTCATCTACCTATATCTATTCCAGATCATCTTTTGCAATTTACTGGACTGAGAATCCTTAACTCTAAACCAGAGTTGCCAGCTGTTCGAAATTCAAATCAAAATGAGTCAAGTCGCGAAATTGCACTGAAATTACCTACAGTTACGTTACCAAACGATGGTCATAATTCTCCTATTAATCCATTGAGTGGATTTTCTCACAATTTCTAGCGATCTTTAATTTACAATACTTGCAGTGATATGAACAACATAAAATGAAAATGATAATTTGTACAAATGAAAATGATTTTCGAATAATCTAAACAAAACAAAACAATACCGAAAACATAATGATAACGAACATTAACAAATGGAAACATGAATGGAACGTGTGTGGATGTTGTTAGTACGATCGAACAGTCTCAACAGTTTTCACAACTTCGACTGCTCCGATGGAGTATACCTTGGCGAAAATCGTGGACCATAGTGCGGCAGGCGATCCCGTTCCGGCGTCTGGGTTTCGCGTCCAGGACTCACACGACTGTGTTCAGATATGCAAATGTACACACACGCAACACATACACAGATAATTTTGCGTTTTTTTAAAATGGTTTATCAATGATTTTGTACACACATATTTTACACAACACCAACAATCATAGAATAAGAGAAGGAAAGAAAAGAAGGTAGAAAACAACATGCATTGAAAAAAGAATGTCTGGATCCGCTAAGTTACGCCGGTCTTTTTTTCAATCTTTGAATTCCAAATTTTAGAGGGACGTAACTTAACCGAAAATATGAATTGAGCACACACAAATGAGATACACACCTTGTACGACGTGAATTAAGCCCTTGATCGCGTGATCCCTTGAAACTATGATTTTGTTTTGGAGTGTAAAAAAGGAAGAGACACAAAATGGTACAGAAGAGAAACGAAAGAAATGAGCACACAAATACACACAAAATATCAAAAGAAATAAGAAAAATCAAACATCATTCGGTTAGTCAATGAAACAATCAAAAGTGTACATTTTTACGTTAGATTTTCGTAATTCAATTGAAAAGAACACTTATTAGAACAAACCTTTGCTTTCGTCCTAGGGTGCCGTAGTCAGGCGAATGTTCGCGCAAATCTGGTTGTGATCCTCTTCTATAAGTGGTGATGGTTGTGGTGGTGGTGGTGGTGGTGATTGGTGATCACACGCAAATTAACACACACACATAAACGCAAATATAATCGGTTTCATAGCGGTGTGATTAAAGTCCGAAACAATAAAGAAACACGTACAAAAACGAGAGTGAACGAAACATAAAAAAAAATACAAATTGTTAATCATGCGCGAACATTGGGAAAAAGAAATCAAATTAGTTAACAATTGTGCACGGAACACACTATTATTTTTGTCAGTGCATTTCAAAGGCTACTTACACTGGTGTCTTGAGCACACCGCGGGACGGTTTTCGCGCTTCCTTCAACCCTGGTGGCGGTTGACGTGGCTTGCAGGCACGATCCACCTCGCCTTGACGGCGGGCAGTGTTCTCCATGAATTCCTTGTGGTCGGCAATCAGAGCTTCCAACGGTGGAATCTCGTCCGGCAGTGGTTCCTGTTCCAGGTCTACAAAAAAAAAACACAAGAATTTAAACTTCTATACGTATCCGTAATCCTAGAACTAGAACTTACTCAACAGCGTCGCTTCCAGTCCGGCCAACCAAGCCAACAGTTCCTCGATCGATTCGTCCAGATCCTTGAGCGACTTCAGATGCGATTCCAACTTGGTCTGACGGCTCAGTGCCCATTGGGAAATCTCGTCCCACCGGGACTGGATGATCGAGATCCAGTTCTTGATGATTGGAATCGCGTCCGGATGAGCCTTACCCAGAATGGAGTTGGCCAGTCCGAGGGTTTCCTCCTTGTCGAACTCCTTCTCGCGTAACTCCTTCATGAAGCGAGAATGCTCATCCAGCAAATCATTGGCTTGGGCTTCATCGTCCGGAGCAGCGGCGGCGAAACGCAACTTCTGTTCGGCCTCAGACAACCATTCCAGAAGCATATGAACAGATTTGTGCAGGCGTTCCGCTTCCTTCAACGCCACCTCCAAACGTGACTTGCGACGGGCGCTCAGATCCTGAACATCGTCCCACAGTTTTTGCAATTCTTTAAGGTTCTTGCTAGTCTCCCGAGTTTCGTCGGACTTTTCAAGATCCTTGCCAGTCTTCATGACGCTTTGCATTTGTGCTGAGCGTTTGTCCAGGTCCGACTCCAGCTGCTTATGGTGATCGAAAAGGGTTGTCACCGTATCCAAATCACCATGCACTGGGCCATCCTCGGCAAGTCGGACCTTTGCCTTGCGCAACCATTCGAGTAGTGCCTGCAGAGCATCAGCAAATTGTCCAGATAGCAACAAAGCCTCCTCAAACTTGCGTTGACGTTCGACGCTCTTGTGACACACACGTTTCCATGAATCCTTCAATTCATTCATCATCTTCGATAGCACCGGGTCATCGCTCTTCGGAGCACGGTCCATCAAGCCCTTGCCATTGCGCATTGTTCCATCGTAGAAGCTTTCCTTCGATTGCAACTGACGTTGAATCTCCCGAAGTTTTTCCAAGTGCTTCTTTATCTTGACCGCATCGTTGGTTGACTCCTCAGCAAGCGTGTCCAGCGTGGTCTCAGTTTCCTTCAACCACGTAATCAGCTGCAGCCAAGCGTCGTGGAATTCGCGGGCTTCTTTGTAGCCATGATCCAAGGCACGAGTTCGTTCGGCAGCCTTAGCCACCACACGTTCCCAACGATGTTGCACCGAAACCAGGAGATTCTTGATAAGAATGACGTCCTGCTTCTGGCTGAAGTATTTCAGATGAGTTCCCTTCTTATCCAGCAAGAGCATCGATTCGCGGTGGATGGAAACGTCCTTCTGCAGGATTTTGTGTTCTTCCATCTGCTGCTGAATCGTTTCAAGTACACGGGAAACTGGCGTAGCAGAGGACAGTTGTTTTTCCGCTTGAGTTAACCATTCTACGAATGTTTGTAGAGCATCGTGGAACTCGGTAGCTTCCTTCAGAGCAATCTCCAACTTAATCTTCTTGTCGGAAGCTCGAGAAACTACAGCATCCCAGCGTTGCTTCAGTGTTCTCAACGTATGCTGTAGATTACTAGCCGAAACCTGCAGCTGCGTCTGTTTGCGTACGTATTCTTGTCCTTGTGCGATCAACGTTTCAACCTTTGGTCTATTTTCCTCTAGCTCATTGTAAACCTCCATGAATCGTTCCAGTTGTTCGGAAGCAGTTTCCGGTAGTCCACCAACAGGCTTGCTAGCGCCAATGATAGCGTCCACATCTCCCAACCATCCCAGAAGATCTTGGATTTCAGCGGTGAACGCTTGAGCATCACGCAGCGATTCTTCCAGCTCATGTTGGCGATCAGATGCCTTCTGCAGCAGATCTCTCCATTGCTTGTTCAACTGCTGCAGCTTATCTTGCGTAGTGGAAGCCTCCAACGATCCACGATCGTTCTCGATCAGCTTCCTGCCAGCGTCATTCAACGTATCCACCGAACTTTGATGAGCGTGGATATCGTTGGCCAGCACCTTCAACTTAGCCAGCTCAACTTCCAGCAACTGTGGATCTCCCGGAATTGCTTTCAGTTCGTCTAAATTGGCATCGGTCTTGTTGATCCAGACCAACAGCTCGTTCAGAGCATGCTGGAACTGGCCCAAATGAAGAAGAGCGTGCTCCAGCTGCTTCTGTCGTTCGACCATTCCACGAAGGAGATTCTCCCAGCGGCGGTTAACCGAGCTCAGTGGTTCACGGATGGCACTTGCCTGCTCGGCTGAGGTACGTTCAGTTAGATCAACCGCTTGCCTGTAGAATTGAAAGTTATGTTATTTGGAGAAATTTGTTTATGGCGTGTATTATGAATTATTCACAGATACGCTGAAACTTTTTTGACGATGAAAATATTACAAATGTAAGTGAAAGATGTAGACTTCATCAATTGCATAGACCACAAGAAGTCGCTTGTCGAACGAAAACGCAAATTTTACATGTGTAAAAAGCTCAAAACTATAGAAATTACAATTTGACACAAAGATGGCGCTATCAAAAATTTAATCGTCAATTTTGAGCGATTTTCCTGATATTCCAAATCATAAAAGCAACAACATCCATAATTCATCTCTCTTGCCTGTTCAACGCTCTGTATCCACATTTGTCATCAATCAAAAATATAGAATAGCATGAAACGGAATAAAACACCATTATATATCACCTGCCCGTCCACCGGAATCAAAAACAAATAAAACAATGAAAAGACACTCACCTATTCAACGCCTCAACCTCTACCATATGTGGATCGACGTCATCCTTGAAGTGCTTCAGCTGTTCAATCTGCTTCTTGACGGCTTCAATGTCTGATCCAAGTGGGCCCAGCTTCTGGAACCGATCCTCGGCCTTGACCAGGAAGCTCAGCAGATTCTGCAGCGTCTCGTGGAATTCCATGGCCTTCTCCATGGCATCGATCAGGTTCTCTTCGCGTTTGGCGTACAGAGCAGTAATGTTGTCCCAAGCGTGGTCCAGATCTTCGATGTGTTTCTTAACCTCTGGTTTGTCTGGTTCTCCACAGAGCGACATCAGGTTGCTACCGGTACGGCGGACCTGTTCCACCTCCGGTTTGGTTTGATCAATCTCCTGGCGGATTTCTTGCAGAGCGACCTGCTGTTTCTGGATGGCCTGTGGCTGAGCAGCTGGAGGTTCCTGAGTCTGGAGCGCTTCCTGTAGTTCCTTCAGCGTCTCCATGACGGCTTGCATCTCCTTCCAGAACTTGTCAGCTACGGATAGGGTGTTATCCAGAGCAGATCCACGTTTGGAGGTTGTCTTTTGCAGCTCGTTCCATAGGTTGTTCAATTTCTCCAACTTCTTCTTAATGTCTCGGACAGCTGGGTCCGCTTGGTTGGTAGCCTTCGAGATCACGTCTGTAGCGGCACGTTTAACGGCGGCGAAAGCTTCACCTCGCTTGTCAATGTCTTCAACCAGAGCAACGTTCTCCTCAATCTGATCGCGAATCTTTGGTGGATGGGCGGAAATTGGATCGGCCTGATTGGCCTGCTCGGCAGTGTTCTGTAGGGCACGTAGCATACCTTCCAGTTTGTCCGAGAATTGACTAGATTCTTGCAGAGCTTGTTCTAATGCATTCTGGCGTTCGCGTAGCTCCGTACGTAAGGCAGCGTAGCGAGCGTTGTCCGATTCTAGGATTTCACTGATCTTGGCAGAATCGTCATCGGCTACCAGAGCCATCAACGCTTCTCCGGTCTTGTTCAGCTTATCTAAAAGTGGTTTGTGCTCGGAGATCGATTGAGTCAATCGTTCGTTCTTATCCTGTTGGATGGCAATCTGGTCGGGACGAAGAGCTGGCATTGCAAGCATGGAGATTTGATGCTCCATGTCGTTCAACCATGTGACCAGGCCAGTGTGCGAATCGGCAAAGTGTTCCGACAACGGTAGAGCTTGCTCAAGTATAGCCAAACGGTTCGAGCAGAGTCCAGCTACCGTATCGACCACTTCCTTCAGATCTTCCAACTTCTCACGCAGAGCAATGGTGTTTTCATTGGGTTGTGATTCTCGGAGAACCTTCTTCGCAGCCGAAGTGACATCACGTACGCGTCCTTTCTGGCTTGAGATGTCATCGTTGATTGAGCGGTGTTCTTGCAATTGTGCTCGTACCAGCTTGGGTGTCATTGCCGGTAGATCAGTATCACGAAGAGTAGCATCCATGTCGCGGAACCATTCAAGCAGTTCATCGATATCGGCAGTAACTTCATCGGACCGTTGTTTACTAAGGTGTAGACGTTCGGCCTTGCGCTGAATCTGCTCGACAATTGCCTCGAAACGACGGTTGTCACGGGTAACGATTCCTTCAATGGTCGAAGCTCCTTCTCCAGGTGAAATCTGGCATAGCTGAGGACCAACCGAGTTGACAGTTTCCAGAACCGGTCTCATTTCGCTTAGGGCACCCTCCAGACGAACGATATCAGTTTCGTTAGAGTCCCCAGTGGCTAGAGTAGATTCAGCAGCTTGCATCCAGTCAACCAAACGGATATGGGACTGATGGAACTGCTGCACCAATGGCAGTGCATCTTGTGCGTGTTTCAAAAGGTCTCCTCCTTTTGTCGTAAGTTCTCCATAACGACGCTGCAGTGAGTCAAGCTTGTCCTTCAGTTGCAGTGCTTCATCCGATGAAATGTGCTTCATCAGTTCCGATCCAGCTTCAACCGTAGATTCTACGTTCGGTGATCGGCTGGCAATATCTTCGTTGAGTTCTACCAAGAGATCCATCTGTTCTAGCAACTTTTCGGTATGCACCGGAATGATCCGGAACCGTTGCAGACGATTTTCCATGTTCTCCATCCATGAAACCAGATCCTGGTAGGTTAGTACCAGATGACGCAGACCTTGGCGAGATTCATTCAGCACGTGTCCAATATTCTCGCTGGCGTGCACCAAATCGGTATATCGATCTGTGGTGTTCTTCACCTTTTCACTAAGTACCACTCCTTCGTCATCACCAACCAGTTCCATTAGCTGTCCGGCAATGTCTGCCAACTCACTGAAGTCAGGTTGTTTAGAGAGGATCTCGTCATGCATACGTTCATGTTCGTGAATGCGCTGTTGGATTTTTTCTTCATCGGTTGGTACCAATTCCATTGCTTTCACAGTACGTTCGGCTCCATCCAACCACTTCGTGAGCGGATTCAGCTGATCTTGGAATTGCTTGGCAACATGCATAGCCTGTTCTAGGTCCAGAGTACGAGTCTGAGCAGAGTCAGTCAGGGCGTCGAAACGACCCATCAGTTCCTTCAGTTGACGTTCAATTGCGGCCTTCTCCGAAGCATCGCAACCGGCAGCAACCTCTTGACCGAGCTGGAACAACGAAGACATCGAATTCTGGCGATCCATCAACATCTTTGTGAGGAATTTCTGTTCTTGCAACTGCGCCTTAACTACCTTATAATCAGCACTTGGTGGTTTTTGATTGGCGACCATCTCTTCGGTATCTTTGAGCCATTTTGAAAGACCATCCAAGGCTTCCTGGAATTTACCCGACTGCAATAATCCAACATCCAATCGACGATCACGTTCGTTCATCTTTTCCTTGAGGTCATTCCACTTTTCGTTGATCCTTTCCAGATCTTTCTCCAAAACTCCCGTGGGAACACCACCTTGAGCCGAGCGGATCAAGTCCTGTCCGCTGCGATTCACCTCATCGATATTCAGAATCAACGGTTCCACATGGCGTTGTTTGAATCGACGGAAGTCATCCTGTTGGTGTCGGATCTGCTCCAATTCCGAACTGACCGGTTTCAATTTCTTCACTTGATCAGCCACATCGTTCAAATCATCCAGCGTACTCTGATGCAGATCGTAGAATATCTGCAGGGATTTCAAAGCCTTCTGCAGCGCATCATCGTGATCGCGAGTGCGATTCTCCAGTTTTCCAAGCTGTCTCCTCAATGTCCCGATCTGATCCCGAGTGCTAGCTGTATCTGGAGCGAATCCAGAATCAACTAGCTGTTCACCAGCGCGTTCGACACTAGCGACGTGATCAGCGGTACGATCAATCTTGCTCAAAATGCCGACTACCTCATCCAGTTGGTTCATTACCGTCTTGATTTCTCGAGCAGGTGGACTCAATGAATCGATTTGATTTTCCAGATCATTCAAATCCACGCCCAAAGCCTTGACTGCATCGTTGAACTGCGATACTGCGGTAGCAGCGGATTGCAACTCACCGCATCGGTCATCCAATCGAGCATGAAGATCTTCAATGCGATCGCCGATTCCATCAACCTCACTCTTTAGATGATCACCATCTCCGCCGGCAGCGCGGGCTTCAACTGCAATATCGCTTGCCAACTTACGAATCGCCTGAAGGGGTTTACGCAGGGCTGAAGCATCCTCCTTGATGGTTTTAACGCGGTCCAACAACTTGGGATCCTTAGCAGCACCTCCTAAAGCGTCATGCGCAGCCAGACGATCTTCGCAGCGACCAACGGCATGTTCGAGATCACGCAGCTCTTCGTTGAAATCTCCCAAACGTTTGGCACATGTTTCCAAAGTTTGAGCACGAGCAAGCAGTTCATTGTTCAAACGTTCCCAGCGGTCCTTCATATCCTGCAGCTCAACCTTGATGGGATCTTTGTCAACATCACACGCTCCGATAAAGGATTCACCCAGACCACGTGTGTTTTCATACTCGCCCGATCTCTTCCAGACGTCCGAACGGAATGTCTGCAGTTCCTTCAACTGTTGATCAAGTTGCGATTTCTTCAGAATACCAGGCTTGAATGAGGCCAGTTTGTCTTCTGCTCCACGCAGCCAAGCCAAAAACGTTTCTGATGCAGCTGAGTGTTTCTTACAGTGTTCCATACAGGTTTGCAGTCGCGAGTGTCGATCAACCGCAGTGTTACGCAGGCGTTCCCATTGTTGAGAGATCTTCTCCAGATCACGCTGCACAGTACGATCGGGGAGCTGTCCTGGTTTTTCCTGCAGTTCACGTCCTTTGTTCAGCAGCATAATGACTTCATGTTCGCGGCTCATAACTTCGCGATAGATCGGTTCATGAGTTTCGATCTGGTGCTGCAGAGTTGGACGATGAGCGGATACCAGCAGGCGATCCGTCAGGTTGCCCAGCTCTCCCGACAGCCAGCCAAGAGTACGAGCGCAAGTCTCAGCGAACTGACGTCCATCTCGCAGAGCGGAATCGGTTTCTGCCTTCCGGTTGTCCAGTTTCTTCTGTAGATTCTGATATTGCTTTCCAACGGCAGCTAAACGTGCGTTGACGTCCGCTCGAGAAGCTGGATCGCTGAGAACGCGGCATAGAGCTTCACCGGCCGCTTCTGAATCTGCCAGAAGAGGACGCTGTCCTTCGAGTTGACGTTCCAAGTTTTCTATCTTTCGTAATGTTTCCTGGTGATCGCGATCGGTTGGAAGAGCATCCAGGTTGTCGCTTATGTTCTGCAAAGCTTCTCGCAGACGGTTGAGACCAGCGTCGAACTCCTTGGAAGTATCAGCAGCAGCTCCCAGGCTTTGAGCACGATCATCCAGACGACTAACAAGATCATCCCATTTCTTCTGGACGTTCTTCAATTTAGAGGCCACCGATTGTCCTTCAGGAGATGATTCTCGCTGATATTCGAGCACAGTGTTACCGACTTCCTGTAAGTGATTCAACTGCGGCTGCTGGCCACGGAATTCCTCGCGGAGTACTTGCACCTGCTGAACTTGGCTTTGCACCATGCGTGGATCCGAAGAAATCGGTCCAAGCACGGTCAGCATACGTTCCTTAGCTCCGAGCCAAGTGTTCAGATTGTCATGTGTATCCAGGAAATCACGCAGTTGTTCGGAGAAGTTGATGCGATCCTTGCATAGATCGTGTAGATTCTTCCAACGATCAGCCACAGCGTCCAGTTCCGAGCGCAGGCGGTCAGCACCCTGCACGTCAGGTTTGCGTTTCAGCAGATCCTTCACTTGTGCTTTGGTAGAATCAAGCAAACTCTGTTTCTCGTACATTTCTTCCAGAACCTTGCGAGCCTGCTTATTGCACCGTTCTGCTTCGTCCTTGTTGCTAATGACTTCTTTGGGCACTTGACGTTGGATCTTGTCCAAGAAGTTGGCTAAAGTTTTCAAGCTCTCCTGATGTTTGCGGACTTCATCTCTCACGGAGTCGAGCTCGTTCTGGCGATCGTTCAAACGTGCACCAACCAAACTGTACCGATTGTTGATCTCCGTCAGCTGTTGCTGGATCGGTGTGAGATCGGTTAGCTGGAAACCATCTTGCGATGATCGCCGACTACCGAATCCGCTCGATCCACCGGGAGATAGCGGGGACACAGTAGGGCTTTGTCCCACTAGTAGACCCTTAGTAGGGCTGGGTGATCGCGCATCTCCCGACATTCGGCGCATTGGGCTGACGGTCGATCGTTTGATTGGGCTGTAGACGGAACGTTTCCGGGTTGGACTGTCCGGACGCACTAAGGCATCGTACTGAGCTCCCAAGTCGTTGACTTTATCGACGGTTACAGCATAGTCACGATGTTCCTTGATCAACGGTTTCACTTCCTCGATCTGATATTTGATCGTTTCAACATCTACTGAAACTGGAGCCATGTTGTTTGTTCTGGTTTCAATACTCGATAGCCATACCAGAACTTGATCTTTAAGGTCTTCGTAGGCGTTCAACTGTTCGGCCTTCTGTTTCGACAATTTAAGCTTCTCCTCGAGAGTTACATCCAGATTCTTCCAGGCGTTCTCCAGCGCTTTGATACGATCTCGAACCACACCAGTGTCAGTGACGTCGCGTTTGGCAATTAAGTCTTTGCCGAGCCTAACACAATTCTCGTACATTGGGCGAAGATGTTCCTTGTTTCTAGACAACTCGATCATACGCTGCATCAAGGTGTCTGCTGGCAGAGAAGCCAGCTCTCGTCCATCGAGAGCTTCCTGAAGGTTGGAAAGTTCTTGCTCCAAACTGGCTGCATCTTCGTTGAACTTATTGAGCTGAGCTAGAGTATCTTCGAGGAATTCTCCACGCTTCAGGGCCTTGTCCAGCAATTTCTCGAATCTACCGGTTACGTCGCTTAAGTTGGTTTCTATTCTCTTGGCAAGACGGGCATTTGAAGCGTTAGCCATTAGCTCGCGAGCTGATAGTGTAACGCTTTCCAAACTGGTGCGATGCGACTCAAGATCATTCAACAGGCCACGATGTTCACGTACTTGTTCGTTGAGGCGTTCTTTGATAAGAGACGCTGGACGGTTTTGTACTTTGAATTTGTCTTCAGACTGGTTGATCCAGCCGGATAGGCCGTCGAGGGCATCTTGAACACCTTGTGACTGAACCAAAGCCGTGTCCAAGAGTTTTGAGCGATCTCCCAAAGCTCCCAGCAATTGGTTGTATTTATTCTTGACATCTTCAACCGGAATTTCCAGGGCGGACACTTCAGATGGGCTTAGACGTCCGGCAAGTGATTTCAGTAGAGCGTCCAGACTGTGTTGTACGTTATCGATGAGGCGTCCCTGAGACATGAACTCGCTCTGCAGCGCTTTGGTTTGATTCATCTGATCCTGAACCGATTGTGGATCGGCGGCAATAGGATCGGATAGCACCGCGCTGACACGGGGTTGAACATCTCGCAGCCAAGAGCGTACCTTTTCCAAACATTCCTGGTAGTCGCGTTGGCGACCGCCAAGACCTGCAAGACGGTCCAGTAAAGCATTGGCACGGTTCAATAGATCACGGTACTGAGCAGTGACTAAGGACACTTCCTGACGAATCGGACTATCCGAGCTGGACACCTGTTCGATGTGTGGCAGTCGCTCTGGTAGTGTCGTGCGGAAGTCGTTCAGCACTGATAGGTAATCCTTGCACTCATCGACGAACTTCTGCGCAGCCATGGTGATAAACCGAAGATCAGCCTGATGCGCAACGACATCGCCATGGAATTCCTTCACCGATTCGGACTGTGTGGACAGACGGTTAAGATCGGACAGGGTGTTTTCCTTGTCCTCCAGTGTTCGACGGGACGTCTGCAACCATGTGGAGAAGGTATCCAATTCGGAACGGAGTTTTCCGAGTTCATCACGAGCAGCACCCAAACGACGAAGCAGCTTACTGGTGCGGTCCTGTGCTTTGTCGACCCGAGAACGCAGTTCACGGCCGCAGCTTTCCAAGGCAGCTACCTCTGGAGCGCTCAGCACATCTCCACCGGTGAGAACCAGTTGACGGACCTGTTCCAGGCACGATGCTACGGGTCGGGATTGAGCATCTATGTCGTCCTTGATTTGCTACAATGGCAAATAGAAGGCGTTGTGTTTTATTGAATTAATCTTAAGAGTTTATGGCGGGACATACCTTGAGCGAATTGATTTGGTTTCTCAAGTCATCAACGCGTTCCTTCGGTCCTCCAACGGAAGCAATGTCCTGCTCGACCTTGGTAATCCATTCCAGCAGTTTCGCCAGGTGGTCTTCGCAAAGTGCGAACTTTTCAACGACGGCTTGCTGTTGGAGATAAGCGTAAACAAAGCGAAACAATCGAATCGTTGGATTAATATTCATTGAAGATGAAGAAAAACCTTATGTCAGATTAATAAAAATAAAGCAGGAAACTTTTTTTTTGTACAAAAGGTCTCATCATTTGATTTTCTTGCAGCTGGAAAATGTTTTGTATTAATGATGATGGTACACAAAGAAAAACAAAAATACCACAAAAACGCAATCATAGAAAAACACAGATAAACAGGAAACCCGAATGCTGAAAAAAACATAGATTATAGATGGAAAAACCCATAACAAAGGTAACATAAACAGTGAATAGATTTCCTCAGCAAAAAGGCAAAACCAACAAACGATAGCAGAAGAATAGAGCACACACGCACACAGTCGAGTAAGAGCAGAAATAATGGCAAATATAGATGGTGCTTCCAAACATTGAGTCACGCTGCTTGGAATGATGATACGGGGGACGACACTGTCTTCACGTGCGTCTCCTGCCAGTACTTGTACTACAGTTTGACATTTACACACATACAATGATATAAGTTATACAAACAAAGGAAATAACGCATACACGAGTAACGCATTCAAGACGCAAACCATTCGCCGCACACGCAGTCAGTTATTGGTTTGTGTGTGTTGTTGTTTGGTTTGTTAATGTGTGTTTGTTTGTGTTAGTGTTTTTTTTCTGGTCTAATCATTCGTTTAGGGGTTAGAAACGTGCAATTAATGTTACTTTGCTTCGTTTACAACGTTCAACATTTAATTAAGAAAATTTATAAACAAACTATAAAAAGAAACAATATATTTACATTGCTGAAAACAAAATAAAATGCTCAAAAGAATAAATAAAAAAAAACACAAAGGAAATTAAGATATTACAAAAGTCGGTATTACCTTACTTGGTTCCAAGAACCATTATTGAAAACGTAAAATTCTATATAAACTCATGCAAAGGTAGAAAACATTTACACAGCTATTGATCTTAAATCTAAACATTGTGACTTTAGTTCGAAACGAAGAAAAAAGTATTTGTCGTGTTTTGTGGCCTTTTTTCTTGCTAACTCCTTCGGTTCTCGGATGTGCGAACGAATCATTAGTGTTGTTGTACGTGAAATGTTATGCACTTACAAATTGTTTCAGTTTGTTTTAATGTTCACATGGAATATGGATGTAGATTAGGACCAAACATCAGTCGCTGCGATTCACGCAACTATATGGGATGCGCACTCTCATACACATACAAGTGTGCGACCGTGAATCGTACACACATGCTTGCATATATGCTTGGTTGTTGTATTTATGTCGATGTGTATTATAGTTGGTTGGTGGTGGTATTTCTCTCTGTGGTGTGTCTTCGCACTTGATGCAGATTTGAAACGCTGAATCATTCGTTTTTTTTTTTGAAGATGGCTTTGGAAGTTAAGGTTCTCTCAATTTTGATTCATTGGGAATTCAAGTGATTTAACAGTTTGTTTGTGTGCGTGCATTCGTGTGAAAATTGTGTATACGTAGTAGTGTGTATGGATGTATAAGTGAGAGAGCGAGGGAGAGAGACAGGCCCGAAGTAAGTGAAACAAAGGGAGAAGAGATAGTGTAAGTGTGAACGTGTGCGTGTTTTTATCGACCCGCTTCTGTATACGGAGGGGTTATGTACTGGCATAAAAAAAGTCTAGCGAAAAAGCAGATGGCATTGGTCGTAGAGAGCCGGCGCACTCTACTGTATCAACTATTAATACATGCACCTATTCATTGATACAACAACATGGATTATCAATAAAACCGAAATGGAAGCACATAATTAGGAATCTAGAAGCTATTTGAACAATAGGGTTGTGAAGAATGTGGGTTTGACGAGATTTGAAAAAAGGGATTTATGCAGGTTTTTAGGCGGTCTTTTATGAATTGGCATGCAAAAGTTTGATGCTAAATACGGAATAAGGTACGTATGATCTTTTAAAACAGTGCAACAGTGGGCATCCATGTAAACATGGTGAAACCATTTTATTCGGAAATTAAACAAAAGAATGCAGTCAAAGTTACTTTTAAATATTTCACCGTTGTAAATTGTGACTTTTTTTCAGAGCCAGTCTGACTGCAAAAAAATCAACAGAATCACGTTATGTGGGATTACCCCGTTTGGCAAACAGTGGTTTAGCAAAATTTGATTTGAAACAATAGTCTGTAATACTGTCATATTTAAACAAATGACGGTAGAATGTCTCCAATTTTAAGAAACCAAGGGTAAATTGTGAAATGTTCAATGATTTCTAAATAAATTGCCTACATTTAGATGCATCCGTAAGAAAGCTGTTCTGGCATAAATATACAATTCTCGCAAGGATTAAACCATCTGATTCGAATTCAAATGTCCCAAAAATAAACAAAACATCCAATATAATAAGTAAACAATAGAGCCATCAATCATCATAGCTACGGACTCCAATATCATGTAGTCGATGTCGATGAAGTTTTGAATAGAAATGTATTTCGATGTTTCCGCTGAGAAATGATCTATTTGTGAAATAAGGGAAAGGCTTGATACCCGCTTGGGGGTAATTTGATTTTCTTCCGCTAACATACATTTCGATACACATTTTCCCTCACATCAAGTGAGCCCAAGTGTGACCAAACTGAGCTTTCCACTTCAAATCAACTTGAACAATAGATAAAAAGAAACAGCATGATACCAATAATTACGTTTGATTCTTCTTATTCAAAGCTCTGTGTTGTGAGAATTTGATACGTTTTGGTACAACACAAAAAAATTATCGAATAACATGAACGATTGTCTTTTGTAGTGATTTGCTGTAAAGTACGGAGCTCGGTGGCCTAGTAGCGACCGATTTAGTTTACTGAGCAGAAGATCGTAAGATCAATTTTAGACTGTATGCACTCCTATTGTAGAAGTTTTCCATTCTTTTTTGCTAGAACGTAGAAAATCGACACTGAGAACTTGGTCGAAACTATGCGGAAAAAGGTCACTTCTGCGCTGAAAATAATCCCGCGGTTTTTTTCGTTCATACCAGAAAAAATACCAATATCAAAGTTCTATTAGCACTAGTATGTCAAAATAATATTCAATAAGATAGTATTTGAAATGGTTCTTCTTCTTCAGGGCTTTGACGTTCTTACACAGGCTTTCTCCTAATCTCAACTAAGTGTCCTTGAAGCAATTCCACAGTTATTGATTGAGGCAACCAATGCTTGAATTTGTATATTGTGTGACAAGCAGAATGAGACTCTATATCCAGGGAAGTAAAGAGTATATACATTAGATGTCTAGATAATTGACAAGGCGATCTGAGGAATCACTAAATTATTGAAATGGTGAAAATAATTAACTGTTTTCCTGGCCTAAGCGCAAAGCATTATTTGAGTGTAGGGGTCTAATTCAATGCGAATTGCACAATATTCTCGGTAAAATAAGTAAAGCATAGTGGACTCCTTCCTATAATTAGCAACATGTCATCGGGCTTAGGCGATCGTCAATCGCAGTTGTTTGTAGTGATATTAGGGGCTCGGTGGCTTAGTGGCGACTGTTTTTGCTTACTTAGCAGAAGATCGTGGGTTAAATCCCAGGTCCCCTTATTTACTTTGGTGTGTTTTCCAAAATTTAAAAACCAATTATTTTTGACGCATCATTAGCAATTGAAAAAAACAGTCGTCATTGCGATCTTTCTACCACTTTGCTATTGTAAATGATGTGGCGAAAAAAGGGTTTTTCCAATAACAGCTTGCCGATCAGTGCACAAGTATGATTTTCTCTAATATTATGTCAAATGACTATAATGCCAAACGTCTTTTATACGAAACGAATGTATGCCAAACAGACTAGACCCGAAGATTGGATCTTTAATTAAGAACCTCTAAAACATCGCTAATATTTTTCAGTAGTCTCGCGGACTTTTGGAGTTTTCGGAGAAGAATTCTGGCCAGATTATACTGCGGTTAATTCCTGGGAAATTGTGAGGAGAGTCCATATGGCGTTCTGACTAGTATTTTGAGGAGACCTTCAAGGCAAATTTCAAGGTTCTGTTCCAATGTTCCAAAGACATTTTGAAGAGGAAAAAGTCAAGGAGAGTTGCAAAGGGAAATATGAGCAGAATTCCAAGGACTTTTTTACGAGAATTTTGAATGGGATTCCAACGAAATTCATAAAAGCACTGTAAGGGAATTTCGAAGAGAATTTTAAAGATATAGAATTTGGAGGGTTGCTTTAAATGATTTCTAAAGAGAATTCTAATGGAACTTTCAAGAGAGTTTCAAGGGAGTTCCGTTGAAAATGCCAAGGTAATGATGGATATATGGATTTTAAGGGAACTCTTAGGAGAGTTTCAAAGAGAACGCTGAAGACAACAACTACATAAAGAATTCCGAGGTAATTTCGAGAAGAATTTCAAGGACATGCTGAAGAAAAATTCCAGGAAGCATTTAAAGGGAATGTTGAAAAATATTCAATGGTGGTTTTGAGGAGTATTCCACAGGGGTTAAAATGATAATTCAACGAAAAATTTCAGAGAACTTCAGAGAAATTTTAAAGAAAATTTCAAGTAAATTCATATAAGGATTTAAAGGATTAGAATAATATTAAAGAAATACTGAAGAGAATTTTAAGATGAAACTGAAAAAAGTTTCAAGTGAATTCTGAGAAGAACTTCAGGAAATACAAAATTCTGAGAAAGTTCCAAAGAAATTTTGGGGAGAGTTCCAAATTCTTGTTTAGAAGACTTGCAATGGAATTGTGAGGAGAATTCCAAAGAATTTCTACCTAGACTTCTAAAGAAACGCATAAGAGAGCTTCACGGTGATTCCGACAAGAATTTCAAGGAAATAAAATACCGAGAATAGCTTCAAAGGATTGCTGAAGAGTATTCCAAGGGAACATGAAATTGGCTTTCAAGGGAGTTCAGAGGAGAATTCCACGGTAATTTCGAGAAGAATTCCAAGGTTAGCATCACAGGAACTCTAAACAGAATCCCAAAGCAACTTTTAGGAGATTTTCAAAGGAATTCCGAGGAGAATTCCAATGTAATTTCGATGAGAATTCCGATGAAGTGCTCAAGAGAAAATCAAGGATGGGAATTAAAGGGAATGCGGAGGAAAATGCCAAGATTATGCTGAGAAGGGTATGATACGAGAATTCATAGAATTAAAAAAAGGGAATTCTGAGGATAATTTTAAAGGAATACTGAGTAAAAATCCAAGGAAATATCGAAGAGAGCTTCAGGGGAATGTCGGAAGAATCGAATTCGCAGCTTGTACCAAAGAATTTTGGGGGGCAGTTTCAAAGAATCTGTGAAAAGAATTCTAAGGCTGTGTCCCAATTTCGGGGTTAAATTGAACTCGTGTTTGAAAGTGACACATGGAAAATTATCGAGCTATCAGAGCGTGTTTACTTCTGACAAACTAGAAATTAGATTTTGTCAACCTTGGCTGAGTTCTGCTCGAAAACCGGTCGATCGATAACACAGAGATTACTCCTAGCTTAAATTTAAGTCGGCAAATAGGACACAGCCAAAGTAGAGTTCCAACAAAATTTAGAGGAGCGCTTCAAGGGAATTCCGCAAAGAATTCCAAGGGACTCCAAAGGGGTTCTAAAGATAATTTTAAGGGAAATTTTACAAGAGTTTCAAGGGGATTCCGGGGAGAATTCCAAGGTGATTCCGAATGTAATTTAAAGAAAATGGTGAAGAGAAGAATTCTAATGGAATACTTAGAACAGTTTCAAAGGGATTCTGAGAAGAGCAAATCTACGCCGAATAGCGAAAAATAAACGAATTTCAGATTTTATCTAGTTCCACGAAACTTTGCATAACTGTTCGCTAAGGATAATAAACCAAGTTTGTGCTTGAATTTGGCCTTTATGACTCACGCTCAATTTTTTAAAATGGCAGTTTCGATATTTTTCACGAAAACAGATCATCTAATCGAAATAACGTCTGATTTTAGACAAAAAAAAAAACAGTTAAAAACTTCAATAGTATTAGTAAGAGAATTTTAAACTTAAGATTGTTTCAAAGCTTATCAAAAATGCTAACTTTTCTGATATTGGCCACCATGAACACTTTTAAATTGACCAAAATCGTAGATAATCATCTTTTAACAAATTTTTCGAATCGAATACTAAGGCATTTTCAGAAGAGTTTTAAATAAATTTTGAGTTTCAAGCGAATTTTGAGGAGCATTCCAAAGAATTTATGAAGCGAGTTCTGAGTAGAGATCCTACAAAATTCAGAACACAGCTTCAAGGGAATTTCAAAAAGAATTCGAAAATAATTGAATTAGAATTAGAATAGCTTCAAAGAAATTTTAAAGCGAGGGAGTTTCAAGGGAATTTTCAGGAAAATTACAAGGTAATTTCGAGAACAATTTAAAGGAAATGCTAACGAGAAGAATTCTACAGAGAATTCCAAAAGTTTCAAGGGAATTCTAAGGAAAATTCCAAGGACATGCTGGAGAGGAGTTTCTGGAAGTGTTCCAAAGAAATGCTGATGAGAACTCCAAGGGGATCAGGAGAATTCCAAGATAATTCTGAGTAGAATTCCAAGGTGAATTCCAAGAGAGTTGGAAGAATTTTAAGCTGAGTGCTGAGCTGCTGAGAATTTTGAAGATATTAAAAGAAATGAGTTCTAGAGTTCGAAGAAGAAAATTATAATAGAAGAATACCAGATAGAATCCCAACATAATTCTAAGGAAAGTCTGGAATGAACTGTGAGAAAAATAATCAGCAAAATTTAAAGAAACTTTGTGAAGAGTTCGAAGAGAATTTTAAAATAATTCTGGCATAGCAAATTTGTCAAGATTTCAGATTTTTCAAGATTTTGAGGGTTGAGACAAATTTTATGACCCGTCTATTTTGATACCTGGTTACGCCCATGTAATTTGTTCCTTTTTGTTTCGATTGCTTATGACGATTTTTTAAAGCCGTGAGTGTCATAGTAAAATGTAATAAATCTAGTTTGAACAACAAAACCGAGTACAGCTATGAAATTCATACCCAGACAACCAGAAGTCGTATACACAGATCTAATCGTACTACAGATAAGTCAAAATCGTATTCGAAATTCATCGCATGATGCGCAACTTTAATCATACAAAATGTAAACACATAACTTATGTATGATTTATCAGTTTTGTATCGTACAAAAGTGCAAATTAATTCGAATTATATCGAAAGACTTGTAAAGCTATGTAAAACCAATTCGTATAAAATGTGCTTGTGGAGGCGATGCACTTTTGTACGAATCACTCATTTTTGTGCATTGTACACACTAAACTTGTCGGTATATTTGTTCGCATATCACAGAAAAAAATAACCTTTGATATACATGCATTTGAGTTGTCTGGGTTATCCAAGAGACACTGCAATTTAAGACACAAAGAAATTGTTTATACAGAAGAAAATGAAGTAAGTGCTATTTGCAAAAGAGAAGAAAAAAAAACGGTGTTATATATTCATATCGTGAGTGCACGCAAAGCTGTATACAAAACGAGTAAAGTGGGAGTGTAAGAGAACATCAAAGCCGTCAACAATCATCAAATCACTTGAATGAAACACTTCAATTTGTACTGTTTGCAAGATCACACGCATCTTTTTTCACTCGAAACTTTACTGAGATATTATGAAGAACGTTAATCAAAAAGGGATGTTTGTGTGATGGAAGGAATGACCCGCTCGATGAGACGGCTCTACCCCGTTTGGCATAATTGTCATTTGGCAAAACTGCTGTTTGGCATAAATACGATAAAAAACTGCTCATGATCAAAAGAATGGTAAACACTACTTAAATTATTGTTATCCCTTTTTATCATGAGCTGTTCTTGTATTTTTTGTTGAAGTACAGCAATATAATTATTTATCGCTATAAGTAGCGGTTTTCCACATTTATGCCAAATGGCCATTATGCCAAACGGCATTATGGCAAACGGGGTAGAACCCGATGAAGCATGGCTTAATGAGTCAAGAAAAAAGAATCACAGAGAGGCTCGAGAATCCTACTGAAAACTGGCCGAATCGAATGGTAAATTTGGTTTTGCCCTGAACTTGAGTAAACTCTCTGTGATTGCCGCTCAGTTCCTTTTTCCTTGCCGCAAAATGATTGTAATTGGAGGGTTAAACAGAGTGGGATGAGCGTGGGACTGGCCTTCACATTCTCAGAGCGCGAGGATAATTACGAGCACGAGCTTATCACAGTTATCAATAAATATATAAAAAAAAAACCGGTTAAACAGAAGGTGTGGTTAACGGAAATCCAAAATTCAAAATTGAAAATGACAAAAAAAAAAGACAGGTAAGAGTGTGAGGGAACACAAAAATCTGGTCGCTGATGTTCGCACTGAACAATGGCAGCAGTTCTGGTGCGCAGTATACCACTTACCCTTTGCTCTGCTTGAATGAGATATCCTCGGTCACGTGCTTTCACGAGATCTATCTTAGTTTGTTCACTTGCAAGATTGAAATGTCCACCAACCGGGTCGATTAGACCGTTGCCGACGGCGGTTAGCAACGGCACAATTACACTATTGTTACTTATGTCACGTACCATTGTTGTTGTTGGGTCAATTAAACCGGATTGAATGGTTTCGTTTAGGGTTTTGGGTTGGTTAGGATGGAACGGGTCCTCGAAAGTACCACGCTCGGCCTTGTACAAACTATAGTCAAGAGCTTCCATAAGACAAATTGCACGCTTCGGAGTAATCAGCAGACCGCTGTCGACTGCCGTCTGGAGAGTTGTCAACTTGGATGTGTTGGTATCCAGCACATTCGACTTATCGGCATCGATCAGTCCCTTGCGGAACGCTTCCGGCAAAGGAAGGAACTTCTTTTTAGCGCCATCTTTCAGTAGGACCGATTCGGGATCGATGTAACCTTGACCGATCGCGTCTTTCAGGTTCAACAGTTCAGTCACTTCGCTTTCCGTCGCACCACCACCAATCGTTGGAGTTTTGTACAAGAACTTACCGGTCGACAGGTCCAGTAGACTAGATTCAACCGCTTGATCGAATGTCAACGGTTCCCGTACGAATACGACTTTGCTACCGTCAAACACGAAGAACGACTGTTTTGGATCAACCGTGGCACGACTTTCCTCGGAAATTATGTTCTCCTGTATTGCTATCCTCAGAGGCACGAACATCCGGTTCTTTGGATGCTTCACCACTGACTTTTCGATTGACAAAATGTCATGTCGCAAAGCATCCTTCAAGCTCATCTCCTTCGGACTTTTGCCTAGCGGTGATTCCTGTAGTAGATTATCTATGCTTTCCTTCCTCTCGAGAATCTTTCCGGTTATCGGTCTTTGAACCGTAACCAGCAAGCCCTTATTGAATGCCACGTCAAAGTTGTACGTTCTATCGCTTTTCCTATCTGTCACCTTACCCTTCTCTACGTCTATGTCATGATCGGCGATTGCCGCTTTAAGCGGCTTGTCCTGCCCTGTTACTGCATCCTTGTAAACCGTAGTCTCAAAGTCTAACAGTCCACTATCTAGAGCTTCCTGCAAATTAATGTGATCACCAGAAATAGGTTCAAGGAACGTTCCGGAATCTTGCCTATACAACTGAAGCTTGATTGCCTTCTCCAAAGACAGCAACTTCTGATTGGTAACAATTAAACCCTTTCGTCTAGCTTCCTGCAAATCGATCCTATTTCCCTTTGGAAGAACATAAACTCCCTCTTGATCATCAATTATCTTGGCACTTATGGCTTCATCCAAACGGACGTACTTGCCTGTGACTGTATTCTTGACAATGGAAGAACCTGTATTCACAATATCTTCCCTACAAGCTTCCTCCAATGTGATCTTTCGGTTTGTGATCGGATGAATGATCTTCCCACTCTTCTTATCGTAGAAGCCCATAGCAAGTGTTTCGTACAACCCAAATCCAGCGCTCTCGATGTCAACGATCAACCCTAAAGCAAGAGCTTCGTTCAAAGGAATGAACACCTCACTTCCCGGTTCTTTGAACACACCTTCTCGTCGATCGATCAGTTTCGCTCGACACGTCTCAAACAAATTCAGCATGATTTCATCCTTCTCATTGAAGTAGCACGGTAACTGGGGATTGATAACAAACTTCCTGGTCGCTTCATGCAAAGTAATTTGACGTCCTGACTTTGGATCGACAATCTTTCCACTCTTATCGTCATAAATGCCCTGATGGATCGCGCGCTGCAAACTTATCGGGGCCTTGCTATCGTACAGCAATCCAATGTCGAAGGCATGCTTCAGCGTAATCTTTTCGCCACTATGCTTAACATTCGAGTTTTGACCATTGATCAAGTCGCTCTCGATGGCATCCACTAAGTCCAAGTCCTTGTAGAAACCGGTAGTAGGATCCTTGATCTGAACTGAATTTGGATCGATCACCTTTTCGGCGATCGCTTGAGCCAATGTCAATTTTTTACCAGTCTTCGGATCCATAAACATACCGCTACTTTCCCTGTAGATACCCTTCACAACAGCCTCACTCAAACTGATTGGCTTCCTCACTTCAACCAATAAACCACGATCAAAGGCTTCCCTGAAATCGATCTTATTACCTGCTTCATCCTGAATGGTACCTCGTTTAACATCTACCGTACCATTCTCAATAGCAAGCTCAAATGGTTGAATCTTACCGGAAACGTTCACAATGGTAGATTCTGGATCCAGCATACCACGCCGTATTGCTCGTTCCGTGGACATTTTCTCCGGAGTTGTAGTACTGCTAAACTGACCGGACTTGGGATCATATAGACCGCGGAATACTGCATCCGGTAAGCTGCATCTTCGCTTAGCTACTACAATGATGCCTCTTTCCAGGGCGTCCATCATACCCATGCTTAAGCCAGATCCAGAATCAACCACCATGCCCGACACGGGATCAACCAGGTCTCCACGGATAGCTTCCGAAAGGCTCACAACGCCTCTACTCTTAGGATCTCTAACGATCAAATCAGTCGTGGAGATCTCACCATCGGCGATTGCCTTTTCTAGCGTGACTCCAGGCGCTCCATCGAAGCGCAATAATCCACTCTGCTGGTCATAGAAGCCCCGTAGCAGAGCATCTGTCAATGAAATTGGTTTCTTATTGCTCAGAATGTAACCCTTCTGATAGGCACGATCGAGCGTCAACTCCGGTCTTGTCAACACACCCCGAACATCATCCAGTAGCCCAGATTCAATGGCTTCCCCACATCTGACGACCTTGTCTTTCTGTTCGTCCCTCACCAATACACTCTCGATTTCTACCAGCTGCGAATCGATCGCGTCCTTCAAAATGTTCTCCTCCCCATTGCCCGGGTTCAAAATCTTACCCGAGCTAGGGTCATAGAATTCTTTGTTCAATACATCGATCAAACTGTGTGTGACCTGTTTCGTTTCCATCATCTTCTTCTCCAAGGCTACGTCCAACGGAAGCAATTGGTCCGTTACCGTATCCTTCATCTTTCCAGATTCACTATCGATGAGCTTCTTATCCAAAGCATCCTGCAAAGGCACCAACACGTTCTCCCTAGTGTCCTTAACATTCGAAATCTTCGGATCAACAATACCCTTATCTACCGATTGTTGTACGTCAACCATTTCTTCGGTGATCGTATCCAAGATCAAACCAGATTCCGGATTGTACAGACCCTTGCGAACGGCTGCCTCTAGGGAAATGGGCTTTCGCTTACCCTCCAACATGAAACCACGGTTGTACGCATCGTTCAAATCAATCTCCTCCTGCGTTTCCCGATTATAGATAACACCCAACTTCAGGTCGATGATTCCACGCTCGATCGCAACACGGAGTGGTACAACGTCTCCGTCGGTTGGATCTCTGACCGAAACTGAATCGTTGTCAATGAATCCAGCGCGTAGGGCCTCTGCAATTGGAACACTTTGGTTGTTTTGCACCAATTCTCCAGTTTGTGGGTTGAACTGACCAGCGTCCAATACTTCAGAAAGCGTAGGTGACTGATCAAGGTTTTCGCTAGACGGTTCTCTCTGGATGATCCAAGCTCGCTTACAACACTCAACAAACTTGACCTTCTTACCGGTTTTATTGTCCAACATGTGTCCCATATTCTTATCAATCAGATGTTTCTGAAGGGCTACATCTAAGGTTTCGTATTGGTCCCGACCGAGATCTTTCACGAACACCGTATTTGGATCAATCAAACCCGAGTTGTAGATCAGATCACGGAAGGACATTTTATCACCGTCATCTGGATTGATGAAACTGCCCGTATCCGGATCGTACACCCCTAGATCGATCAACTTCTGCTTGGTCAACGACTCATCGATGACCAAGCCATCAGGTTCGCCTTCAACGAATGAAACCAACTCCTGGGAAATAACGTCAACAATGTCGTAGATTCTCACATTTCTATCATTAAGGCCCTCTTCAACCGTGTAGGGCATTTCCTTGTCATCTACCAACACGCGACAGATCTTCGGAATGATTTTGCCTTGGGAGATCGCTTCCCCGAGAGGTAACCTTTCGTAAGGCTCATCCTTGATAGGCTGGCGGCGCTCTGGTGTTTTCTCGGCAATATCAAAGGTGACGTGCTTCTCTGGAGTCCTCAGCTTTCCATCGGCATCTTCTTGATCTAGGATACCTCCAATTGTTTTCTCAAGGTCTCGGAACTCCCGCTGACCATCACCGGGTGATCGTTCATTATTCAGGAATGCAGTCGTGGCATCGACAACGGAAGCTGGTTTGCTCTTCTGTTTTGGTTTTTCAAGCTCTTCGGAACGATCTTTCCTCAGAGCATCGACAACTGCTTTTCCTGCTAAGATCGGTGCACCAACTACGGCCATCAGTCCAAGTTTGGCTGCATCCAAAACCTTCTTTCCCGTTTCGCTTCCGGTTGATTCTTTGTTCGTCTTAAGATCTGTTGGACGCTCCGGGGTTTTCTCCCTTTCAAGGTAAGTTGCTGCCTGAGTTTGGACCGGAGCTGTCAATGGTGCTGAATCCTTCGAATCGTCAGTAGTTTTCACAGGACCTGTAGCTACTTCACTAGGTTTCCCTGACTGCGGGTCTTGATCGGGTATAATTTGAGACGTTGAAAGTGACTCAGTTGGTACTGCAGCTTCAATAGGAGAGGAGCTGTTGAGCGTCTCCTCCTTTGGATCAACTGCAGTGGGTACCCGATTAACGTCTGCTACGTTATCTTCTAGTTTTGGCACTTCGTTATCAAATGTAGATTCTACCAGTTTTGGAACCACTGCGGCGGCTTGAGATGTTGGAGAATTATCCTTTGTTAAGGCTTGATCGACACTAGGTTTATTTTCAGTAGCCTCGGTATTCAAAGTACTCGAACCAACCGAAGGCGTTGGCTCCTGCATTGGCCTCTGAACTTCTTCAACATATTGTGGAGATAATTTTGTTTCAGGATCCACAAGACTGCTTTCTGCTGGTAATTCTTTATCTGTTGGAGAAGTTTCGACAACTTCCTGTACCAAAGCTTTATCGTACACGGTAATCAACGTTCTCTGATCATCAGAGGTAGGTTTTTGAGCAATTTCTGAATCTTTTGAGACTGATTCTGGTATAGGTTCTTCAATACTGACTTCTACTACCACCTTCTTAACTGTAATGAGCTCTTCACTAACTGCTTTGGGAGCAACAGGCTCATCTGTTTTTTCCACAGCTAGCGGTTTGATCATGTTGGCATCAGTGCTATCGTTCAGAGTAGCACCGGAGGGTGCCTCATGTTGACCTTCAGAACTAACATTCTTCTCTTCAGCACTGCTGGGTTGTTCAGAACTCATCGGTACATTGCTCACAGTTTTTTCAACAGAATCAGAAGAAACACTGTTCAAAGGTTGCTCGACGTCTAAGGATACTATCTCTGTAATTACTGTTGATGGTTCAGAAACAACTGCTGTAACTTCCGAACTGAATTCTTCAGTAGTTACATCTACGCTGCTTGTAGGAGTTGGTTTAACAGCCTCCGTGTCTTCTTTTACAGGCTTTTTCGAATCAGTTGCTTCATCTATGCTGCTAGTAGGAGCTGGTTGAACGTCCTCCGTGTCTTCTTTGACAGACTTCTTAGAATCTGGCTTAACTACAGAGGAAGTTTCTTCGACTCGCCCTGAGCTCTCCGGTTCAACCTTTAATGGAGCTTCAACCTCAGCTTTCACAGGTTCAGCAGTTCCTACCTGGACTAACGAAGCATCTTCTGGCATCATCGGTACTTCGGTAATAACAACAGAAGACACGGTATTTTCAGTTTTCACAGCAGATGTGGTTTCTTCGCTAAACACAGTGACGATAGGTTCTACCTGCTTCTCAAGCTTAATTTCAGTTTCAGTGTCAACTTTGTCTGGTCCAACACTGGCTATTTTAATTGCAGAGATAGGAGCTTCACTAATATCAACAGAAGACACGGCACCCATTGAAGGTGTACTCTCAACGGTCTTTGTAATAACCTGAATCGTCGTTGAGCTGAATTGTTGGCTTGATGACTCAACTACTGCACCAGTCGTATCAACGACGACAGAACTAGACTTTTCGCTTTCCTTCTTTTCAAACACTTTCTTGACCGCACCGGCGATCGCCATCCCTCCTAAAATGGGCGCTCCAACGACTGCCATCAAACCCATTTTTGCAGCGTCTTTGATGTTCTCTGCAAGTTTACTGTCACCCGCAGAATTGTTAGGTTCTGGTTGACGGCCGTTGTTGATCATAGGATCTTGACGAAGATCTGTCTCAACACTTATTTTATGAACAACTTCCTGTTTCTTAGGGTCAAGCAATGTTCCCTGCTTCGCAATATCAACGCTTGTAACTACTTTATGCACCATTTCTGGTGACCGGTTCAACGCTTCGTCGCTTGCCGTTTTCGTAGCAATAAACCCTCTATCAACAGCGTCCGAAATTGACATCACATCGCCGCTATCTGGATGTCTGAACATTCCCTTGGTCACATCTAGCAGTCCCCTCTGCAGAGCATCGTTAAAGTTTATGTTGACTTCCTTGTTCAAGATTTCGTTCTTCGTTTGTTCCTCATCGTTGATGATTCCTCTGCGTCGAGCATCATCCACTGACATGATCTCACCGGTTGCCGTGTCTTGCACTTCAGTAGCGGAGATCAACGCATAACCGGATTGTATTTCAACTGTTTTTGTTGTGATCGTATGAGAGGATGAAATCGTTTCTTGGATAGAGGTCACAGCCGTATTTGCCTGCATTCCTCGTACCATTTCCGGAAGTGGCTTCACTTCTAGTAACCCGGTTTCGATGGCTTCCTGCAGTGGGATTTCTTCTGAATTTTTGGGATTTGTGAATGACTCTTTATATGTATTGATCAGCTTTTTGTCCAGTGCTTCCTCAATGTCTACAGCGTCTGCATTCGGAGTGTAGGGAATAGCCATCACGAAATCCTTCTTGATTGCGTCATGTACCTTCATACGATTTTTACTGATCGGGTGCATGATCTCTTTGCGATCTACATCCAAAAGTTGACGTTTAACTATCACTGGAAGGGTCATCCCGACGGGAGGGATCTGAGCAGAATAATTTGGCACTACAAACACATTGTTATCGATTGCATCCATCAGTTTAACGTTATGGACGGTACACTTGTCAGCGTCAACAGCGCCCGATTGAATGGCCTGTTCCAAGGGAATTCGTTGGTTACCGTTGATCACTACTTCGGATAAAGGATCAACGATTTCGCAAATGGAAGCTTCCTTTAACGTTAGAAGCTGACCCGATTCAGGGTGGTAGATCTTGGAGCTTTCTACATCCAGTAGACCTTGCTTTTTTAGTTCCGGGATGGATAAAGATTTTGCCAACGGTATAAATATGTTATTCGTTCCGTGACGATCAAGAATTCCTCGACGCATGGCTTCATTGATTGTCAGAATGTGACCTCGCTGAGGATCGACGATCTTGCCTCGGTTACCATCCAAACGGCCAGCGGAGATTGCTCGTTCAAGTGAAAGACCATTATCAAAGAGCTTGGGATTTTCAAGCACCTGAGCAGTTTCCTGATCAAGAATACCCTTTTCGGCAGCGTCCTTCGGACGTAGGACACATTTCCGCATTCGCTGTAGCACTAGAGGTTCTTTACGATCGCCAACAGTAACGATCAAACCCTCGGACGAACGCCGACTGTTGTCTTCAACACTGAGTTTCTTCCTGAGAGCGGCGCGCTCTGGACTGGGAAGTTGGCTCTTGGTGATCAAGCCACGTTCGTAAGCTAACTCAATGGGAATTTCCTCGCCGGTAGTGGGATCAACAATCGTTTTGAGCAAAGCCAGAGCACCTGCGGCGGCTACCAAGGGGGCACCGCAAACGGCTAAGGCACCCATTTGAGCAGCTTCAATCAGACTCATTGGTCGTCCAGAACGATCCTTAATCGAACCTGTTTGAGGATCAAGAACTCCACGGTTTACGGCTTCAGTGATGGTGATCACCTCACCACTATTGGGGTCCTTGACCTTCACAAAGTTGGGATCAATTTTACCGCTCGTGACAGCATGGACGATGTTGTCGGACTTACCCGTATCGGTGAAGATCACGAGGGCTGTTGAAGGGTCATAAATGATACCCGGAGCCAACTGTAAGGGTTCCGGACTGAGGATTTCCGGCGTATTTAGACTTTGAACCTGTACCATTTGGTCATTGGTGGAGGAAACTTCAATAAGATCAGGTTGACCGGGTGTTTTGGTCACCTGGATGGTGCGGTTCACAGCGTCGTCTGTTGAGCGATCTTTGGGTTGCTCGAAAATTATATACTCGCGATCAAGAGCTTCTTTCATGGTAATTTTATCGGCTTTTACTGGCTGGTAGTGGCCGGTACCATCGAGAATCTTTTTGTCGAGAGCACTTTCTAGAGTGACCCTGCGTTGAGGATTCTTCGGATCGGTAACGAATGCCGACTGGCGGTTGATGATCTTCAAATTGATGCATTCTTCAAAGCTTACCAATCGATCCGTCCCGGGGATAATGAATAAGCCGGCAACGGGATCGAATAGTTGCTTGGAGATGGCATCAGCTAGAAGCCAACCATTCGGTGGAAGTTCGATGGTTTGCGTTTCCTTACGTTCCCGAGCCAAGAACTCGGTTGTAATGAGAATATTTTTAGCCTTGCTGGATTTTGCTACACGGGTTTCAAACTGTAATGGAATGGAAGAAGGTTTACTACTAGGAACTTCGCTACCAGTTTCCTGCGCCGGAACAGCTTCCGTGTCTGGCAGGATAAGGCCATGATTTAAAGCTTGTTGTACGGAGTAAACATTACCGGTGGCAGGATCCCGATAGGTGCGAGTGTTTTCATCGATCAACCCCCGGCGGACGGCTTCGGTGAAGGAAAGCAATACGTCCGGTTGGGTTTCCACCTGCTCGCCGGTGTGCGTGATTGTAACATAACGTTTGATCGTTTTCACAACGGTTTCCGTTGTGAGGGTGATGTTCAATAGACTAATCAAGAGTAAGGCGCCTTCTGGTGTAATGAATTTACGTTCTATGGCTGGTTCCAGTGGGAGGACCTTGTTGGTACCATGTTCTAGCAAGAAGCCGGTTTTCGTGTCAATAAGATCGTGGTAGACTAGTTCTAGTAGGGTCAATTCGTGATCCCCTTCGGCGAATACGCCGATTTTTCTGCTGAGCATTTCGTAAACTTCTGGACGGACAAGTCCCTGAGCAACGGCTTCGTGTAGATCAACGAGAACTCCCTTGCCCACATCCAGCTGGAAGCGACCGTCCTTCTTACGGACTACATTTTTCGCGACAGCCGTATTGAGCGAAACGAACTCACCGGAATGTGGATCCTTGAAACCGAAAATAGTGAAAATTGATTTAATGGCAACCGATGAGATGAAACCTCGATCGACTGCCTCTGGAATGGTCATAAGCTCACCGGTCTCCAGCTGACGGAACCGGTTCTCGAACGGAAGAATGCTCTCCTGCTCGAGGGCTTCCTTCAACGTCAGCAGTTCTCCCTTGGTTTTGTAAACACACTTAATGCTATCGCTATCTAACACACCTAAACTAATAGCACCTGGAATATTGACCCGCTCGCGTCTCGTGGGAGAAGCAATTTTCTCCGACTTATCAAACAAATTTAAATCACATACGTCTTTCAATGTCATCGGTTTGCAGATAAGCTGCCGGTTTCGTGCCTCCGCGAATGTCAGTTTCTCCTTCGTCAACGGGTTCATATAACGGCCGGTTTTCGCATTGAGGATGCCCTGATCTAAAGCTTGTGCCACCGTGATTTTGATGTCGTTCTTAGTGTCAACAATCTCCCGCAAATCGGGATTTACCAGATTTTTCGCGATCGCTGAATCTAGTCGGAACGTATCGCCAGTGTTACGATCAGTGACCCAGCCACCATTATCCACTAGGCCCTGGCCGATGGAATCGGTCAGAGAGAGCGTGTGCGGCGCAATCTTGATTGTTTCATTACGAATCAAGTAACCGTACTCGTAGGCATCGGCCAGCGTGATAAGGTCGCCGGTCTCGGTACGGTAGAGACCACTGCTAGTATCGACCAGGCCCTGCTTAATGGCATCGACAATACTTTTTGCTTCTTTTTCGTTATACTTTACAGTGGAGGTGCGCTTGACAGGAGATGACTCGTGGCTGGTCGTTACCTTGATTCGTTTTTCCGTGCTGTCGTAACCGTTTTCCGCCTCGAGAATTTCCTTCTGTATCACCTCCAGCAGGCTCATGGGCCTTCCGTCGCGATCCAGCGCTGCCCCCGGCCTGAGTAAGTTATCCACCAAATCCACATCGATTAGTTGCCTTCGTACCGCTTCCTCCAGACTCAACCGTTCGCCATTCACATTCAACTGACCACTCCGCACATCCAGTATCCTCAACCGAATCGCTTCCCCAACCGTTAGAATGCGTCCACTCACCGGATCGACGATGCCCGGTGTGTTCAGGATGGTATCACCATCCTCGAGCCCGTTGTTCGTCCCGACGGCTTCGTTCGTGCGCGAAATGCGCTTCAAGCTACGGATTTCCGTGAACTGAACGGAGGAAGCATTACCGCTACCGCCACCATTGGGCTGGTGCACATCCGAGTGCAGTTCCACTTTACTCACTTTCTTTGGGGAACCCTCCCGGGAGGAAGCTCCACCGTTACCTGCTGCTGCCGTTGCCGAGTCCATTGCGTCGTAGATCAGCTTGTTGTTGGTGATCTTGGTTATTCTGTGGAAGGGAAAAGAGGTGCTTGGTTTATCTAGGGGAAGACGAATTTTCGTTGGGGGGAATTGAGGTTAATAATTGTAGGAAGGCTGAACACAGATCACCAAGTGATGTTCAATGAACGCGGTATCATTTACACTGTTGAAAAGTACCACGAGTCTTCATAAATTTGAAAATGCCACATATTTCTGGATGACTGCAATATGTAAATCATCATTCCTGTGGTGCAGAGATAATGATGTCTATTTCACTTAAGAACACTTCAAATCACCGACCACTTTCCGTCTCTTGAGAAGGCATCCAATGCATTCGGACATTAAACTGATCATTCTCGCCATATCTTCTCAACTGCCAGTGTGTGTGTATAAATGCATCAAAAGTGGCAATTAATCAGCCTGGATTATCCGACGAAGAGTTTTATCACATAGTAATAGGAAAAGGGTCGAGTACTTACTGCGTTGCCGAGTAGGTGCTGGTATAGACGTCCTCCGTTATTTCCTGGAAATCGTCTCCGTTGCCGTTGCTGCTCACCGGACGGCCGAGATTGAACTCCATCCGATAGGTTCGAAGCGGCTTCTGGAGACTTTCGGCAAAGCGCTGTTGGCGTGATCGTGTGAAATAAAAGTGTGTATGTGGAAAATCAAAAGAAGATAGCAAACCATTAGAACCGGGTAAAAGTGTTATTGGCTTCGTTGGTTGGAGCCGTAAATAATCTTGATTTATGGGGAAATTACCCTGAACTCGTAGGAAAAATCATATTCATAAACGGTCTCCTCGTGTCTCCGCCGGAGACGTCTCTTCTGGGCCATGTTTGTCTGCTGTTTACTGGCGGTTTTCTTTTACCTCCAACCAAGTGACGCGTGCGTGTGAATCACTCAATGCGTTATTATTAGAAAAATTCGTTTCAGTTTCATTTACTGATGAAATTGAAAGTTCTGCTGCATCGCAAGGATCGAACTTTCCCACGCCGACCGGGTGTTTGTATTTTTGTGCAATGGGGTGTAAATTTTACTTTTTCACAACCTTGAAAACTTACGACGCTATCCTGTTCGGTGCATCAAGAAGGAAGGCATTTAGACCAACCTGTTCCCGCATAACGTGTATGGCAATCGACAAAAACGAACGAATGACGGTGCAGGTGGGAAAAACCCCCAAGCGAGCCTCCAAAGAAGTTCGTTTGTTTGATTGCATGTTAAGCGGGAATAAGGTGGCAGAAAAGGGTGCAATTAATATCAATTATATCGTTTCATTCTGTGATTTCTACGTGGTCTTATTCCGTCGGGAGTTCTGTTTCAATTTAATATCGTGTCGTTTCAAGTTATGATTACTATCCTATTTATTTCAATCAGCGGAAAAAAGTACCAAGCGTCTCCCTTTGGTTGATACTTCATCAATTAATCAAAAATCGCGCATGACTACACCTTGAAGCGCTTTCGAAAAATATTCTAAAAATAATCAGCCATTCGATAGCAAAACGGTTTTAGGTAACCATTTCCATGTTAGGATGGTCAAAAAAAATCGATTTTTTTTTCAAAAATGACTTTTTTTTTAAATTTATAACTTTTGAACCACTTAGCCAATTTCAAAGATCAAACTATCAATGAAAGGTAATTAAAAATACTTTTTATGGAAAATATAATGATATACAAAATTGGGATTTTGTATTGAAAAAAAAATGGATTGTATTTGTTTTTTTTTTTATGGTTTTGTATTTTTTTTTTTCGTTTTTGAGTTATATTTTTTTAAGTCATCAAGTTTTGGGTTTTCGCTGTGACTAGACTACCATGTGTCGTGACCATGTTACAATTGCTATAAGTCAATGGAGGCGCATGGTAGTCTAATCGTATAGAATTATTGAGCGAAAACCCAAAACTTGATAACTGCAAAAAATATAACTCAAAAACGATTAAAAACCCCATCACTAACGGTAAGAGACACCACCCTAAAAAGTTCACCAGTGAAAATATAAGAAGTATTGAAGCATGAGATAAGACACAATGTTTTTCATGATTTTCCATGCGATTTTTCTCCTTTTGTTGAAAACATTTTTCAGATTATATTTTTTGATGGATTGCTGAGATAACTTTCTTATCATTTCACTTGTGTAGTTTCGTTCTGTTTACGATGCTTGATTCATGAGTTATGAATTTTAGCAGTACGTGATGTCGTCATATAATCAATGTTTGATTAAAACTGCATCTAAAAACATGCTATGAGAAAACCACTTTTATAATTTTCCTTGATCCGTCAAATGTCAGTGCACCTTCCTTAGTTCTTTACATTTCCTCTGCTGTTATTCTTATCGCAGGGTAATTTTGGTTCCCATCCCCATTTCCACATAATTCGATCAAGCGATTTTTTTGTGAATACCTTATACTTAGAATTTAGCAAAGGCATAGCCATCTTCCATCCAAGCCACTTTTATAACAACTTTCAATGATTCACTCTAACCTGGGTAGAGGGTAATAGCAAAACCAGAGCAAAATAATATCAAATTTTAACTATCAATATCTTATTATGTTATTGGTAGGTTGAGCGCCTATTCTGCTATCAAAGCCTAATTTGCAATTGTAATGATATTTTGGTATCATGAATTTAAGAACTAATGTTGATCTGATAGCAGAATAAGCTGTTAATATGCCATTAAATTTATGAATTTTAACAACATGCCAATAGCTTGATGAGAAATGTGATATTAATTTGATATTCTTCAGATATGGCAACAACTACTACTCAGTTGCTCAGGTATGGTCCACTAGATGTTTTAATATTATTTTTGATATTATACCTATTATATCAATCAAACTGATGGCAATTTTTGGTGTTCTGTTCCACAAATTTATTAGTAAAACTAGCTGTTGATTTGATATTCTCGTATACTTGGGAAGAAGCTCACATTAATCGTCCGTTACAGAAACACAACAATACCAATACGTCTTTTCCATTTGAGCAGCATCACAGTACCAAATTCTCACTGAGTAGTTAATTCTCCGAGTTTGCAGAGACGAACCAGCATTTAAACTAAAAACCTCTTAAATAAAAAATAAAATCTCTGGGCGTGGTAATTTGAAGCATACACAAATTTGTAGATAAATAATTGGAGAACATTAAAATTCTTCGAGCATCCGGGAGTTAAAGGAAGAAGCTGTGAAGCTTTCAGAATTTCTGAGAAGTTTGACGAACTACGGATAGGTTCCGCGAATTTAGGAGATCTTAAAAGTTCTTAAGAGAAGATCAGTGAACTTCAGAGTCTATCGAGAAAACTACGGAAATCAGAGAGCATCGGCGGTATCCAACGAGCTCCAGAGGAGTTACAACCACTTTAGTTGGTGTTCAAGTGATGAGGACGTGACATATCTGAGAGATTCGAGAGATCACCGAGGTTTGAGGGTTTCAAATACCCAAATATTTTCGATCCGAGAGATACAGAAACGTTCTGAAAATATTTAGGGACCTTCGGGGGATTTCATCAAACACTGCGACCATACAAATCAAAGCATTATTTAAAAGATTTCATTGAAACAACACTGTTTCAATCATTGCCAAGAAGTCATTGAGGTTCATAGAGTTTCAGAGCAGTTCTACCCCAACTGCCGAATTGATTTTATTTTTCCCTCTCCAAATTCCATGAAACTTTGCATAATTGTTCACTAGGGGCAATGAACCTAGTTTGTGCCGGAATTCGGCCATTTTGACTATTGTCTAATTTTACGAAATGGCGTATTGGATATTTTTCAATGAATCATAGCACGAAAATGGCCCATCCAATCGAAATGACGTCTGAGACAAGAATTTAGGAAACTGGATCGCCTTTTTAAAATAAAAATGCCCACTGAAAAATCAATCACATATTTAAAAATTCAAATAATAAACTGTTAAAAATTTCAATAGAAAAAAAAACTTGTTTTTAAGATTTTTAAATTTATGTTCATTTGAAATCTTTTCAAAAATGCTAACATTTCTAAAATGGCATTGTCTGTCTGGACTATCTGGCATTGATACTTCACAATAGAACAAAAAATGTAGGCTGAAAAAAAGACTCCAAGATTACATAAAATTGTAAAATTTTGTTTGATAATTTAAACAAATTAGTATACAAAAAACCAGCTTTTAAGAATTTTGAAATTTCTCTTGATTACATGTAATTTTTTTGACAGCTGAGTGGGTCATTGGACCGAATGATAAATCGAACTTGGAAATTAATTTAAATAAAGAGATCCATGAAATAACATTGGAATCTCGAACTGAAAAATATGTCGAAGATTGCATGAGAAAATTTCGAGATTTTGAGACTAGGCCCACATTGTTGAACTTTTCGAGATTTCAGACACCATAAAATTTAAAATATCAAATACGGCGTAATTTTCAATTCTCAGATTTAAAAAAAAATCATCGCTTCGATTAATTTTGGGATATTCTAGGGATGATTATAACTAAATTTTGAGAAGTTCCAGGTTATTTTGAGAAGTATGTCAAGAAAATTCTAAGGAGAAATGAAGCTAAATTCAAATGTAGTGCTCAAGAAACTATTACGGGGATTGTGAGAATAAGTCTAAAGCTATTCAAAGAGAATTTTGAGCAAATTTTAAACAATTCTGAGCGATTCAGGATGATTTAGAATAATTTTTCAAGAGAATTTCGAGAACAATTCTAAGGGAATCGAATTCTCAGAATAATTTGAAAGAAACTCTAAAAGAATCTTTCAAGGGATATTAAGAAGAATTTCAAGAGACAATCTCAGGGAATTCTGAAGTGAATTCCAAGATAATTTTGGGACAATACTTTGGGAAACCTCGGATGAATTCCATGAGCAGGAGAATCCTGAGAATAATTCCTAGATAAGAAAATTCTGAGGTAAACTTTTATAAAATATTCCGAGGAGAATTCCAAGGCAAGGAATGGAGTTCTCAAAGTTAGAAAAGTTACAAAGTCATTAAAACTGCCGGACATGGGAACACTAAACATAACTATCGAAGTTAACCAAAACTGAAGTGTCTTAGGTATGGCCTTTTTCTTTAGGATTCTCACTGCTATCATTTAGAAAAGTGAACAAGGGCTTTTGCTTGACAAATTTATGAAAATCTGGAACAAATCTGGCTTAGATTTCAGATTTAATTTTTGGTATCTCTTTCCATAAGAGAGTTACGAATTTCTAGTTTGAAGATAAATTTAATATGGGAAATGGATGTAATGTCTGCCTAAATGCCCTTAATTTGGGCCCATATATAAATTCAGCAATCGACTTAATTTTCAATAGCGACCAAAAATATCCATTAGTACCGTCCCAAAATATAAATATAGATAAAATTGATAAATAGCAGATTTTTAGCGATGGGCCCAATCTTAGATCCATAGGCCAACATTAGAGGCATTTCCCCTATATCGGACTTTTTATTAATTGAATCCGAAAAAAAGGATAAGGGTGGTGTGTGGTAAGCGTGATTACTTCTCACGCCAGCAGGCCTGAGTTCAATCCCAGTCACGCCTTCCTTCGGAAGGAAAGTAAAGCCGTTGATCCCCAGTTCTTGAGTTGATGGGTCGATAGGTAGGGTCCAAGTGTGGCGTCGGTAGCATTGGTGCTCAGCACGGAAAACAAG